GTCGACTTCATTCTCTCTTCCTGACTGATTCGCTGAAGAGAAAACAATGATGCTTCAGCACCCGTGTTTAATTTCAAAGAAAATAAACAAAGCAGAGCTCCTTTTTCCTCTTGCTCCCTGGCACACACATGTTCTCACATACCAACATGCATTGTGCACACATGTCCCAATGCATACTACAGTCGTGCAGATTGCAATAACACACATGAAGGAGAGTGGTGAAATGAGTGTGTTTGTAGGTGCGTGACTGTACATTATGTGCACGTTTCCTCCAGCTCTGGCTTTGCACCATGAGGCGGTTGCTAAGAAACCAGGAGTGCTGTGCCTCTTATTTCAGCTCGGTTCAGTGTAGTTCAGTTAAGCTTATTGCCCCTGTGGGGAAATTTGTTTTGCAGCAGCAAAGACCACAACAATAAATAGCAAACACTTAAGACCCAAATACACAAACAAGACAAGGGCAAGGGAGGGGGGGGGCAAGGGCAGGTTTTCCTGCCTGCACAATTTCTAATCATCAGGATTATTGCTAAATATTATTTTCAACAAACAGTGAGAGAGGATTTTTTTTTTCTATCTGTTTTACAGTTCCCAAAAGAAACGTGAAGCCTTAGATTAGTTTTCACAGGGAAGCTCTTTATCCCTAAACAGAGAACATAAAATCATTGTAACCAGTCCTTTCACCATCATTCATCCAGGAGACTCATGCACTTACACACTCATGCACACACTCCAGGTTCTTTTACTATAGAGTGTGAACTCAATTGAAAGTAGGACAGCCCTGCATGTAGTGTCTCCACAGTAGTTAACAGAAGGAGTCATTTGCTTTCCTCACTTTGCATCTGCTTCATCCATGTGCTTCTCTATAAGTAGACCACAGTTCAAATAAAAAATAAAAAAAACACCTTCTGAACATTAATAACAGATGCTTTTCCACCTGCCGTTTTATGAAGTTGTAGAGCTGATTATCAGAAGAAAACTGTGAATCTACAGTCAGGAACAGTTCACATTAGTCTTATTCCTGTGATGAGTGACTTGGAATTGTCATAACAATTTTTGTTTTCTGAGGTTGAAACATTGATGGTCTTTTTCTTGGCTCTGTTAAATATATCTGACAATCTATCTGAGTTCACAATCTGTCAGACGCCAGCTCTACCCTAAGCCACGAGGGGCTTTTTGAGAACGTATTGTTATGAGTTTAGGGTTCTTTAGTAATGCTAAGTAAACAGTGAGGAGCTTCCATTATTCATGTTGCTCAAGCTTAATTTGAAACACCCCACACCGTCATTACACCGCCGCTTTTTTCTTCTCACAGCCTGGATGGATGAACAGTAGGAGTTTTTGTCCAACCAATCCACTAGTGAACTTTAATTGATGCCTGTTTTAAAAGTTTCCTTTTCTCATCAATATTTGATTTCACATTTGGTTAATAAACAAGTAGCAAGCGTACACATATACTCCAGTATTGTTATCTTGTCACAGATAAACATTTGCGTTCATGTCTTAACCTTTGCATCCTTTCTTGTATTTAAATGAAAAAAACCCTCACTTGTTCTGGCACATTTACAGACGTATCAATCCTGTACAAAGATCTGTTATTTAGTAACACATGGATTTAAATAAGCTTACACACAGCCGGCCTTAATTACAGTGACTTATTTTTTATTTTTGCTCAAACTTACATGTGTTGTGTCAACTTGTTGGCTCTGTTGGGGTGTGGATTTTGTGGTGCTGTTGAACTGTATTGGGTTTTATCGACAGGTTTTTCTAGGACTTTTTTTCAACCCAGTAAAAATCAGTGAGGGTTGACTATAAAACAGAAACAACTCTATGTAATATTTTACTAGATGCTATTCTCTAATAGTAAACGGAATTTAAAACTAGATGTGTGCTTTAAATTAATTTAAAAAAACTCGTAGCATCTTTTTGACTTGTATCATCCTTGTTTTGTTGTGTCCTACAGTGCCAACCTCTCCCATCAATCCTTAACTGACCTCTTCTCCATCTTTTTCTGCCTCTTCTAGTTTGCCCAAATCACTGCAAGCTGGCCTGCACAGACAGAGGGGAGTGTTGCCACAGCCAGTGCCTGGGAAGCTGCACCGAACCCAACAACGACATGGCGTGCTCGGCCTGCCTCCACTACCACCACGGGGGCCGCTGTGTGCCCGACTGTCCCCCTAACACCTACAAGTTTGAGGGCTGGCAGTGCATCACCATGGACGTGTGCTCTCAAGTGCACCTGCAGGGTGACAATAACTTCGTCATCCACGGGGGAGAGTGTATGCCCGACTGCCCGCCTGGCTTCACGCGCAACGATACCAATCGGTAAAAACGATAGCCTTCACTTCTAGTTTAGATCCTGATGGTGTGTAAAGTGTCATCCAGGTGACACGCTGAATGTTAGAATTAATTTGTCATTTTTATTGTTCAAAAAAGCTCCTAAAAAGAATCTTTTCTACTTAACTTCCACAGGTTTCCACAGTCTTAAGTAGCCAATGTCCTGCATTGTGTGTACAGAGTAAAACCTCAGCCTCTTCATAGAGAGACTGAAAGGTCATCGTATAGATTTCTTGATGGTTTAACTGTGAATAGCAGTGTGGATTCTTTCAGTTATGAAAGCTATATGTGCGCAATGTTTATTTTGCAGAAAGTAATTATTTGAGTACAGCATCCTTGAGCTGAACTGCACCTGACCGTGCTCTTAATGAGTTCCTTTCTTAAACAAAGCTTTGAAGTGCTAAAGGTTAAGAGCACGTCGCACTAATAAAAATTCAAGTTCACGCTTCTAACACCGTTAAAAAAAAAAGACTTAAAGGTGCCTTGAGACCCAGCTCAAACGGCCACCTGACATTTCCTTTGTTAAAATGGATAAGAAAATGTCTTTTGTTTGCAGCATTCCTCCCTGTTTTGTCTCCACAACTCCCAAAGTTTCCACTTTCGTGTCTCAGCTGCTGTATATTTTTTGGCCCAAAGTACCGCTGTTTCGTCTCTGAGGTCAAACGCAGTGAGTCACTCTCATGAAAACCCAGAGTTCAGACGAGGGCCCATAAAAGATTAAACTCTCAGTCTGTAGCTGTGACCTTGTATCATTCTGTGAATTTATTTGCTTGAATCCTTTTGGAATGCTCGGGGAGGCAGGGGAGTGGACGGATGGATTCAGAGTGAGGTCTAAGAGTTCACGTCGGTTGATTTACTCGTTCTTTTCACGATTTTCGATTTTTTTTTTAGTTTTGTTTCTTCTCACGATCTTCCCTCCTTGTTTTGTTCATGTACACAGCATGTTATGCAGCGCCTGCAACGGTCCTTGTGACAAGCCGTGCGCATCCGCTGTCATCGATTCTGTGGATGCTGCTCAGCTTCTTAAAGAGTGCACCGTCATCGAAGGCAACCTGGACATCAACATCCGCCGGGGAAGTGAGTGCACTTTTTGCAAAAAAAAACCAATTTGCCTTTAACACGACACATACAGTTAGTGTTGCAGTTTAAATAGGAAGATCGAACTACACTGCATCATGGGAAATGTGAGCAGACTAAACAAACTTTACTCTGCTGTGTTGCACCTCACTTATAAAGAAAGATAAAGTAAAGGTCCTGATTGTATTAGCTACTGTGAAGGCCACTAAATCTACATTAACACATTATGTTATGGTGCTGTTTATTTGCTTAGTGGACAGGATGACTCACAAGCTAATCTCCACATATGATAAAGCTCCTACAATACAGCGCTCTGTGGTATATTTGCAGACAGAGATAGCCTGGGTGTCACAGTAGCTTTGGATGTCCATGTGTATAATTAAATGTGCCTTTTAATATGCTGTTGTGTGTGTGTTTATCCCCTGTCCCCAGATAACATAGCGTCTGAGCTGGAGAGCTTCATGGGGTTGATCCAAACAGTGACGGGCTATGTGAAGATCCGACACTCCCACGCACTTGGCTCGCTGTCCTTCCTCAAGAGCCTACGTTACATCAATGGACAGGATCTCATCGAGAAGTACGGCTCGCCTGCTCCGTCTGTCTGACAGTAGATGTGTGTGTGTGTGTGTGTGTTTGTGGTGGCTGAGTGAATAAGAGAACATGAGCAAAACGCAGGCCAGTAGGTTTTTGCCACCAATGTTCGATCAAAGATAGAGCCATGGACAGTGGATGTTTGCATTAGTGCATAGATCTTAAAATAACCGTGTCTATGGATTGCCAACAGGTCTGTGAGCCTCGGCCTCATCCTCATATCAGCAGCACTTCGAGATATGAGGGAAAGTTTTTTTTGGTAATGGCCAAAGAGGTCATGGGAAATCCTGTCGCCCTCCTTGTTGTCGTTTCTCCCAGGGTAAAGTTTCAGTCGGAGGAATGCTGAGGATGGCAGGCATTCGCTTCCCTCTGGAAGTGTTGCTGCTGCGTTACTTGGACGGCTTGAGCTCAAAGTATTAGCCTGGCGCTGTTTCCTGATTCATGTCGTCCGCAGTACAAACCCTGGCTCGTTGTCAGACAGACACACATACCTGAGCTCCTGAGAAGTCTTAGTATACCTGTGTTAGTGCTTAACGCTGCCACCAGGTGGCAAAACTTTGAACCTCTTCCCTGTCAACTTCAGCTCTCACAAAACATTTCCACAGCTCATTCGTCACCACACGGTTCATCTATAAGAGATTGGTTTTTAACCTCAACCCTTTCGATCTCTTCCATCATCAGCATGTACGCCTTCTCAGCCATCAACAACCAGCACCTGCAGTACCTGTGGGACTGGAATCACCACAATATAACTGTCCTGAACGGGCGTCTCTTCTTCCGTCTGAACCCCAAACTCTGCATGTCTGAGATCCACAAGATGTGGGATAAGTCGGGCATCACTGTGAAGCCAGAGGAAGGAGATTTCCGGAACAATGGTGAACGAGCAAGCTGTGAGTATATTTACATGAACTTTGGCAGAATGTCCAGAGCTTTATTTGCATGGTTTATTTTGTTTTTCCATGTGCGCTTTAATGGTATTTCTTTGTCCCCTATAGGTGAAAGTCATATTTTAAAATTCAATTCTAACATCACAACAAGCCACGTGATCATGATGACATGGGAGCGCTACCGGCCGCCAGACTACGGAGACCTGATCAGCTTTATTGTATACTACAAAGAGTCGTGAGTACTCACAACAAGCAACTTATTATTCTCCATAACTAAAATACAGCTACATGAATCTACACAGAGGCTGTTAGGGTTTGAAAAATGGGGTTCTAGGATGTAAAATCCTATTTTGTTATTATTTCATAACAGTCAGATCTACATTTTCAAACATTGCTTTCAAATACAAAAGATTTTATCTGAAAAATATGATCTTAATCCGGTTTTGTATATTAAAGCCCAATAAATACTTACTCTGTGCACTTTTTGTTTCCAGCTTTTGGATGGATTTCCTGCCTATTAGGTGTTCTTATTTTAGATGACCAATGGAACAAGTCCTCTAATGCAAAACAACCGACCAAGATTACGTCATATTCACAACGTGTCCTTTAATTGTTCTGAGTCTGGCTTTGATTACCTGTCAGATGTTCTTGTTGAAGGGTAACAAAGTGAACAAATGGCTGCCTTGAAGGGAGTAAATCAATCAAACGTTGTATTGTTATGATTTGGAAAACGGGTTGGCAGTTTGTAAAGTACACAACATTTGTAAAAAAAAAAGAGAGAGCTCAAATGTACAGAAACTATTGAAAGTATTTGAAGGCATCCATCCACAAACATTAACTAGAACGTGTACAGCTCTGACCTCAAATTTGGACAGGAATTAAATGAATTATTTTGCTTTATAGACACCCATTTTTATGTCTTCTCAGGCCTTTTCAGAACATCACTGAGTTTGATGGCCAAGATGGCTGCGGCTCTAACAGCTGGCACATGGTGGACGTGGATCTCCCTTCGGATAGAAACGCTGACCCCAAAGTCAGTCTTCAACACCTCAAACCCTGGACCCAGTATGCTATTTTTGTGAAGGCCATTACCCTGCAGGTGGAGGACAAACACATCACAGGGGCGAAGAGTGAGATAGTCTACATTCGAACGCGCCCATCATGTAAGTTTGATCGTCAGTACTGCAGTTATTACTCACAATGTTTGAAAAATCATGATCGACGGTAATCTCAGCGTCTCCTAACACTTTAATATAACTTTATCACCATTTACTATTACAGTGCCATCAATGCCCAAAGACCCCCGTGCATATGCCAACTCCTCGACCAAGCTGTTGGTGAAGTGGTCACCTCCAGCCTTCCCAAACGGAAATCTGACGTACTACCTGATCCGCTGGCAGCGACAAGCTGAAGACAGAGAGCTCTACCAACATAACTACTGCTCCAAAGGTCTGAACACCTTTATTCCTACCTATAATATTATATATAATGAACTTACAGACCTACAGAGTGGTATCGGTCTTGTCTTCTTAATTTCTGCAAGAAAATGTATATATATTTGGGGAAAGTATTTCCCCAAATATGAATTGATACCTATAGTGTTTTTAATTCTCTGTGTTTAGGAAATATATAAGCATTATCTCTTGTTATTCTGAAAAACATTCTTTATTTCTCCTCATGCAGAGCTGAAGACCCCGATCCGCATCCCGGCCACAGGGCTCACAGACATGGAAGACAACACCAAGCCCACCAAGTCTGACCTGGCGGGTGGAGAGAAGGGTCCATGCTGCGCCTGCCAGAAGACGCCCGAGGAGAAAGACCGGGAGAAGGACGACCGCGTCTTCTTCAAAGTTTTTGAGAACTTTCTTCACAACGCCATCTTTCTGCCGAGGTAAAGCACCAGACGCAAACCGGCCTCGCGGTGGTCCGCTTAAACCATTTACTAGCTCCTGCTCAGTGCTGTCTTTCAGCCTGCCAAGCGCTGAGCTTGTTTGCCCTGACGGGTCAGAATGAGGAACAAGGTGGAGGTACTGGGGGTAATAGGCTCCTCTTTGAGCTGACGGGATCCTGCCATGGGGGGCGTAGATGGACCAGAGGGGGGGGCTTTCGCTGGCCTTTTTTTTTTTGTCAGGCGGCACAGATGAGGAGACACGCTGAGTCCAATCCATAGTCTTCTGAGCGCTTGTGGTTTTCTGTTGCCATGGCAACAGTGGCAAGGGGGGGAGAGCTAGGAGACCTGGCAGGCGGCAATTTAAGCAACACAAACAAACCCAGGAGAGAGATGTGATTAAGGAGTCTGAAGGCCCAGTTTGGCCGACACTCGTGTTTCACACAATAGAGATTGACATCTGTGTTGTGTTATCATTTAACGTACTCGTGGCTAAGACTCTCAGAGAGTCCCACTCTGTCTATACATGGATACAAAGAGTGTGGGAGGAGAACAGTCACACATAACATATACATCTCTTAACATCCGCCAAAGTCGAACATGGAGATCTTTTCTATACTTGCTGCTGCGTTCCCATAACATTTTGCGTCCTCCTCTGCACTTGAGGAATTGGCTCAATATGCCTCTGAAGGATGAATAATAAAACATGGCTTTCTGTTGTAATTAAACACATATCGGCCCCTCCTCAGCGCCCCTGCTGCTCTCTCAGGCTGTGTTGATTTGTTATAGTATAGCTGTCAAGGAAACAGTCGTGTGGCAGGTCCCCGTGCCTGCAGCCTGCAGCGTTCAGCGTTCAGGGTTCAGCCTGCGTATGCACAGACTCTCTGCTGTAACAGAGCCAACATTTATAACAGCTCACTCCACGGGGAAAAAGGCCTTGAAAAACGGCGAGGTTTTTTCAAAAGTTCAGGGGTTTAGACCCGGGGTGAAGAGAAGGAGGGTGGGTGAAAACAGAAACAGAAAGAAGAGGAAATGTTTTCCATTCTGTCCCGCTCCACTCGGCTCTCCACTCTCCTCCTCCCCTTGCACGCTCCCTTTGTTCGGGTCTTTCTTTTTTTTTTTTTCTCTCTCTCTCTCTCTCTCTCGAGTGAGACAGCTGCCAGGAAATGTACAGTGAATCCATCTGGAATTTAAATGAATGAGGGAAGAGCCCCATCAGCGCTGGAAGACAAACAGAAAGTAAGGAAGGCAGGCAGACTGATTAACTGGAGGAGAGGAGGTTTGCTGCCAGTGTTGCTTAAGGAGAGCATCTGATGTGATCCAAAACCTGTCATCATGTCACAGGAGCTTTTATTTACTGTAATAACCTGGTGTTAAAACTCATGATGAATATATACAAGATAGATTGATAGGGACTCCCTGGACGTTACTTCTTCCTCTGTCAGTTCCAGACACCCTTCACTCTTCTTGTGCAATACGTGTGGTTACCACAGACTCCATGTGTACTCCTCTGTGGAGCCCATTGCATAAAACCTTTTTTTTTTTGCGCGCGAGGTCAGGACACTAACTGTAGTAACTCATTAGTTTTTAAGGACATGCTTTAGTCAGCTGTGGAGCCTCTTATTGCACACAGAGAAATGAGATCTCTCCAGTTTTCTCTTTGTCTGGCCTCTCCGTGTGGTCGATCAATTTGTCTTCTTCTTACTCTCACATAAAATATACAGGATAGACCCAAGATTTGCAGGCTACTCCCCCATGTCAAGGTGTATCCGTTTGATGTACTGTCAGGACTAGCAGGATTGTACTACACCAGTTATATCTGCCGGAGAGGAATGTTGACATGTGAGTGCAACTTGACTCTCCCACAGAACTGTCTGAGTCTGTGGGTGTTTGTCTGAACGGACACAAAAGATACTGGACTCTAGTTTAGTACAGATAGCCAGGCCTCCTTGTGTAGAAGAAGAAGAAGGAAAAAGAAGATATACTTTATTAATCCCTGAGGGGAAAACCTATTTCTTCCCTCTTGTTATCTCTAACCAAGCCCCCATGGACAGAGCAACCTGTACTGTATAGCAAACTGTCAGTGAATTGACAGAAAAAAAACAAGCTATTTTTTTTATTGCTGTCATTTCATATGAAGCAAAAATGGAAATTCTAATAATTCTTGGTTATTTGTTTAGTCTTTGAACTTTAAAGGCTTTATACACAATTTTTTTTTTTTAACCTGCAGATGTCGCCCTTGAGCACCAGCATGACACCAAAACAACTCGCGGTGCATTGTTGTGTTAGCATGCTAATGCTAGCGATCTTTATTATGCTGGTATCTTCACACTGCATGTAAATTTACCTGAAATGAGCGTGATCTAGAAACACAGTTAAGCAGTGAGTACAGTATGTTATTCTTCTTTTCTCTAGTCCCTCAATTAAACAACTTTTATACACGAGGGGAGGAGTCAGCTGGCCGTCCTGGCGATGTAAACAAACTGAAGATAGGACTCTGAAAACTCTGAAAGCATCACAGACAGTGGGACTCGGGTGTTACACCCATTGTAGACAGTCATGACTCACAGAGTTATTTTCAGAGGATATCCTTGGTTTCTATTATATTTAAGTGTGAAAAATCACATATAAAACTTTAAGGAATTTGCTCATTTGTTGTACTTTTGATGTTTTGGAGTGAAATTGTGTTCTGTATGTTATAGAATTAACTATGTGAAAATGAATCAATAATACAATATTAATCGTCTCAGTTCAGCACATAGTAGTAACCGGACACAGAATGAATCACCCCTGATCTTTTTCACATGCTGTTATTAAAAACCTAGTGACCCGTTCATGCTCTTCTCATCACATCTCCAAACAACCTCTAGACATTTATCACCTTGCAGGCTGCCTATAAAGGCTCCGTTCACTATATATGACCCTGCTGTCAATACGGTTTTCTTTTTCCTGCTCAATCAGAGTCAGGCTTCTCTTCTCTGTGTCGTCTGGCTCAGCCGCAGCTTTCTGCAGGTAACGGTTTAAAGGTAACTGTAGGCGCCGTGTGTCATCTGCTGTTATGTGCCGCACAAGACGGCTCCACGGCTTATCATCACGGCTTATTTTTCCTTGTAGTCTTTAATTTTTCTTGATTCAATTCATTGGACTTTGTTGTTTTTTTTCTCACTGTGGAAAAATCTCTCAGTCTGTCTTTTTTCTTTTTTGTGTCTGCTCTCCTCACTATGATCTGTCTGACCTCATCCTCCCAAACTGCTCCACAGGGAGCTGTATACAGCATCTGGACACATGTCACACACACACACACACACACACAAACACACACACACACACACACACACACACATACACACTCCACCCGCCTTAGAAGGATGCTTTAGTTTGGGGAGTTATAAAACCACAATTATTTGTTACAGTAGAATTTCAGTGTTTTTTTAGTCTGTTATGATCATGACCGACTTCACACCTGCTGCATCGCTTGTCTCTCTGTTTTTCAGACCTCCAGACCGCAAACGTAGAGATGTTTTTGGCGTGGCTAACGACACTCTGTTAAACGACCTTGGCGGGAGGGGGAACAGCACCTTTGGCCCGGGGGATAACACTACAGATGGAATACCTCCCATCAGGGAGTATCCGTTCTCCGAGGAAAAAAGCAGAGCAGAATATCTAGAAATCCCAAACCTGCGACCTTTCACTGTGTACCGTATTGACCTCCACGCCTGCAACGAGGAGGTGGGCCGCTGCAGCGCAGGATCCTTCGTTTTCTCCAGGACCAAACCTGCAGGTCAGAAAATACTCCACTCTGTGATTAAAAAATGTGCGACAGTGTGCAGTAATACCTTCTCTCACTTGAGTGCAGACATATTTTTGTTTGTAAAATGATGTATGTGGTTTTGTTGCACAGTCAGAGCAGACGACATCCCCGGAAAGGTGATCTATGAGAGGAGCGACAAGGTGGAGGGTTGTGTGGTGCTGCACTGGAAGGAGCCCGTTATGCCCAACGGAGTCATCCTCATGTATGACATCAAGTACCGCCTCGGGACTGAGGTAAGCCAGGCTGCGTTTAATTAAAGCAAAGGCACCAGGCATGTTTTCAGAATGTATTTAAAGCACTGCTTGAAATAATGTTTGTGACTAATAGGGGTGGGAATGGCAGTGGATCTCACGATATGACACCCTATACATGGCCTACCATAACGAGTCAATACATCACTTCTGCACTACTGACGATCAGAGAATGAGACATCCATTATCTGTTTAACTGAACACAAAATGCCCCTATAAAGGAAAAGTATTAGGGTGTCAGTTTCTTTCTTTTCACCGCTGTCCAACATTATCCGGGTGTCTTTTTCTTCTTCTTTTTATCCTGCTGTCAACTTCTTCTTTGGCCAAGTAACATCTGTTCACGTTACCCTCCTTCATGTCAGAAGCTTGCCATATGGATATTTGGTCCCACCCTCAGTGACCAATACATTATTCCAAAACCATTTTCAAAGCAAAATGTTTCTTCATCTGTATTATTTATTAAAAAAATAAAAAATAAAAATATGATCTTCTAGGATCAAACTCACATACATCACTCTGCATTGTTATTTTTTTTTGTAAAGCGGATTTTTACATTTTACAGTCCAAGCCTGACCTGATGGACTTTGGCCATTGGCTGTTTTTTTTAATGTCTTTCAAAACAGTAACCAGGATGTGTGTGTTTCTTTCAGCCTGAGAAACACGAGTGTGTGTCACGACAGCATTACCGCGAGCACAGAGGAGCTCGGCTGTCCAACCTGGGCTCAGGGAATTACTCTGCTCGTGTGCGCGCCACCTCTCTCGCAAGCAACGGCTCATGGACAGAGAGCGTGTTCTTCTACGTGCCTCCGCCAAAACGTAAAAAAAATTAAAAAAAACATCACACAACACATTCTGCACATTCTGCACATTTACATATTTTTGTCAAAAAAGAGAACACACTTTTTAAGTCGGTGCTGATAACCTTTCTATTTCCTCTGTGTCTGACAGGAGACAATGGTGTTACGTTCTACTTGGTCATCATTATTCCCATCATAGTGACGCTCTTCATTGCCAGCCTCACCACAATTCTCTTCTTTGTGAACAAAAAAAGGCGAGTACCTCCACGAACATGCACATTGCCAGGCAAACAGTCTGGGCGATGATGTTCTGCATCACTGTGCTCATGAAACTTAATGGCCGGTGTAATGTTCATTAACATGGTGTTTTTGTTGTCATTAACATTCCCCTGTCGTAAAACGGAGACTTCCCGTAAAGAATTCCACGCGCCGTCCACAGTCAGAAAAAAGCTTGTTCCTAACCTCGGCTGTGTTTGTGTCAACAGGAACAGTGACAGATTGGGGAATGGAGTCCTTTACGCCTCTGTTAACCCAGAGTACTTCAGTGCAGCTGAGAGTAAGAATATCTGTTTTCTCTCTCTTCTTTTTTTTTGTGTAACATCAAATCATAGACCGGAATATCTTTGTACTGATTTGCAAGACAACAGTATGAGTCCCTGATGTTACAACAAAACACTATACTGTATGAAATGTATCAAAATGTCTTCAACAAGTACGTTTAAGTGGATGGACTGACCAAAAAATTGCCACATTTGATATCTGAAAAACAAACGGTATGTTTTTCCGGTAATGTATTTATTTATTTATTTATTTTGAACCCATCCTTTTTGTTCCAGTGTATGTCCCAGATGAGTGGGAGGTGGCCAGAGAGAAGATCACCATGCACAAGGAGCTGGGCCAGGGCTCCTTCGGCATGGTGTATGAAGGGATCGCCAAGGGAGTGGTCAAGGACGAACCTGAGACGCGAGTGGCCATCAAAACGGTCAACGAGTCGGCCAGCATGAGAGAGCGCATCGAGTTTCTGAACGAAGCCTCAGTCATGAAGGAGTTCAACTGTCACCATGTGGTAAGAAAAAAGCAAAAAAAAACAGTTACTATTCGACACCTGAGTGAGAAATCCTGCAGATGAATCACGGCACAGCTGGTTGTTATATTTTAATCCAGTTGTGCGACAGTACTCAGGTTCTCAAACTTTGTTTCTTAATTGTAATATGGGGGCATTCATTCGTATTGCACCTTTTGACTTCTCCCACTACCTGTTATGAACAACTTATCTGTTGTTTTGTGATTGGTGCAGGTCCGGCTGCTGGGCGTGGTCTCTCAGGGACAGCCAACCTTAGTGATTATGGAGCTGATGACCCGCGGAGATCTCAAGAGCCACCTGCGCTCTCTGCGCAAAGAAGTGAGCCTCTTTTCCTCACTCACATACGCACACACACTCACATACTTCACTACTGTTTTTTTTTTATGGTGTAAATTGTTTTGGGTTGTTTGAATTGTCTTTTTTTTAAGTATGGTGTGTTCTTTTATCTAGACTTGAACTGAATATTCTGTCTTTTTTTTTTTTCAATCTTTCTCCCTGACTCCTGTTCATTAGTCCACACAAAGCATCCTTCACCCACTTTGTATTTCTGAGCTGGCATCTTGGAAAGCAAGAAAAAGATGACTGACTGCAGAGCTTAACAGTGTTTTTTCTTTTTTTTTTTTTCCTTCCCAGAACTCCACAACCCAGGTCCTACCCCCGCTCAAAAAGATGACCCAAATGGCAGGGGAAATCGCCGATGGCATGTCGTACCTTAATGCCAACAAATTTGTCCACAGAGATCTCGCTGCCAGGAACTGCATGGTAGCAGAGGACTTCACTGTGAAGATTGGAGGTAAGTCCAGTTAATACGGTGGCATCAGCCTCCCCTGGTTGCTCAATGCTGAACCTACTCTGCCAGCCTTGTGAAATAAGTCTTTGGCTTTCACTGAGTGCCTGAGGCAGTGGAGTCTTAATGTAGATGGACGGAGGGAGCGAGGAGGGTAGGGGAGGAGGAGATCAGGGGATGGATGAGCTCTCAGGAGCTTCCTCTCCGACACAGAATGAGTGATTTCTAGTGGCTTTCCCAACCTCTGATTTTGTTTTTTTCTTCTCTTTAGATTTTGGCATGACGAGAGATATTTATGAGACGGATTACTACCGAAAAGGAGGGAAGGGCCTGCTGCCTGTTCGCTGGATGTCTCCGGAGTCACTGAAAGACGGCGTGTTCACCACAATGTCTGATGTCTGGTATGAGAACACATCACAATAAGGCCCTTCATTAAACATGTGTAAACCTGCACTAATCCGGGGCATGGAAACGATTCCAGAAATGTCTACATATTGTGTGTTTGTGCGTGTGGATCAGCTAAAACTATTCATGCTGGGGGAGTCAAAGTTATAAAAACACACAGATCACTTCTAAGCCTGTATTCTCAGCTACATTGTTACGTTACACTTTGAACATTCAGTCTGTGTGTCTGCGCTATAAAAGCTTCCAAAACCATCAAAATCTTTTGGTCTCCTGCTGGCTCTTTGGAAATTCCTCTCTGTGTGACAGGAGAGCATAAAACAAGATTCATCTTTTTTTTCAGACACCTTTTTTTAATGCCAGCTTGCACTGAAATCTCAGCTAAGAGTGCTGCACATTTTTCTATCCAGACCGATATTGTTGTCGAGAAATACAAGTGTTTACTAGCTCCCCCTTGCAAGTTTTTGTTTCCCAACTCAGAATGTCCCTCAGGTCGGTCCCTAAGAGTGGGCTTAAACTACTCCAGATGTTCTCAAATGATAGGTTTGCCGTTCCCCGCACAAACCCACCTCCACATTTGTGTACTATATCTTCCTCTTTGAAGTCGTACAAATGAACTCGAGTGTAAGACGAACCCCAGTGTGGTCTCCTGAGGAATCCGCAAGTTGATGATTATTATTTTGTTGATCGAGAAAAGCTGTGTGAATGCGTCTGTCTCTGTTTGAGCAGATTCAGTGTTGTGATGAGGCTGTTTTCTAGACGGTGGAGTTTACTCTCATGACTGAGGAGAGCGGTGAAAATGTGAACAACAAGAGTCAATAGATATCATCATCCTTTATTTTCTTGAAGTTCTCGGAGAGATCATTGAGGGCGACCCTCATTTACAATGATAAATGATAAACAACGAGAGATGAGATAAAGCTACTACAGAAAATAAAATCAATAAAAGAGTAATAAGAACAATACAATATAAACACTAAAATAATGTAAAAGCTTTGAAATTACTACAGTGATAAGTCAGTAATTAAAATCAAATAAATACAGTCAGGTATTGGGCGGTTAAAAATAATGTTTCTTAAGTGTCCATAAGGGATAAAAGTGCTCAAACTCAGGTCCTGTTGTAGAATATTCCAGGAGTTTGTTTCCAAACATATGTACTACTGTATAATTATTTCCCCCTTTAATTTAAAGTATTTCGAGCCTTGGAGTAATGAACTTGTTATTCTTAATACCAAGGCTGCTTTGACTTAGTTTAACCTGATCAATATAACATGAGGAGATCATCCTCTCATCTTGTAATGTTTTAGTCCTGTAGGTAAGATGTAAGAATTGAAAGCATTATTTAGTTTTAGTTTTGTTCCTTAGTGTGTGCAACAGGATACATAAAGTGTTATTGGGTTTTTCAAATTCAATACAAGTTTAAAATACTAACTCCATGAAAAGTGACTTTGATGAATTGGTTGTAGTTTTCTGCTCTCAACTTTCTAAGGTGAAATGATGCAACTTGTGTTTACAGCGGAGTCAGGGCTCGATAGAGAAATGAATTGAAGCCAATGATAGAAAAACAGATGGGTTGTTGTTCTATATTACACAACTCCAGTTTCCCCTGTAGACGCCGGCCAAACAAATTTGTACGCCATCAATGAAGTTCCGGACCTCAGACCTTTTTATTAGATATTCCTCAATGAAATCAGTTCAATGAATTTCACAAGAAAAATAGCGAATAGAAAGAGTGTGTATGTCCTTGCTGTGTGTGTCAAAAGGTTTTGATCTGAACGTATAGATGTGATGTAATAGACACAATATGGAAAAGGAAAGAAAATAGTTGAGTCCAGTAAGAAAAAGCAGCTGGGCTTGCCTTCCTTCTGTACACCCATAACATTTTATCTGCTGTTACGCTCAATTCAAGCATCAGATAAACTTCAAAGATATGTATGAAGTACAAATTCCTTGTTTGTTCCGCAGGTCATTTGGCGTGGTGCTGTGGGAGATTGCCACCTTAGCAGAACAGCCCTACCAGGGCATGTCCAATGAACAAGTGCTGCGTTTTGTCATGGAGGGAGGACTCCTGGACAAACCCGACAACTGCCCCGACATGCTGTAAGTCTGCTCGAACATGAACTGTTTCACATTTCACTCTCGTGCTTTTTGATAGGCCTCGCAGATTTACGGTTGACCTTAGAGTATGTATTCGTTTTATCCTCAACTTGCACCGCCTCACATGTCCTCTCTCCCCATTAAATTTTTATCCCGGTGTCTATTTAGAGTTGTGGGTTTTACGTGTGTGGGATATCATGTGATGTGTGTGCTAAGGTAGAGGGCCTGACATTAACGTCATAGGTTAAATGTGGTCTGTTGACGACATTGCTCTGGTGGGTCAGCTGGCACAAGAGGAGCATCCTCACCCGTCCTGCCTCGGCCCATAGAAGGGATGCCACGAGCCGTGTGTGAAAGATGCCCTGCATTCCGTCTGCCGGCAGCAGACATGAGCGGGGAGATGGTGTCCGTCCGTCAGCAGAGAGTGGACGAGACGGAGAAAGAATTCAATTTATTCATAGTTCATTTAGTTACCCATGTGGCTGTTAAAAGAGAGAAAACACAGCCTGCGTGTCAGCGTGCAGTGCTACATATATGCATGTCTCCTCTCTCCCTCTCTGACCTCAATAAGAAGGCATTCTGCTCTCTCTCCCCTCCCACTCTCCACGGCTGACCTCACCTTAGAAAGAGAGTGTGAGCAGAAAAAAAAAAAAAAAAAAGAGGGCCCAGTGTTGTGCAGACACAAACCTCTGGTTTCTATGGCAGCCTGACTTTTTTGTCCTGATTACAGGAGTGTGTGGATTGTGTTACAGAGGTGGTGGTGGTGTTGGCGGTAGGGTGGGTGGGTGGGTTATTCTGCTGCTCAACACACAGGGAAGTCAAGGGTTTCACCACAGGTCCCCTTTGCTGCTGTGACTTAATGGAGATTTCCATAAGAGTGCTGAAGTGTGGTGGAGCCAGAAGTCGATGCAAAAAAACCAATCAGGAAGATACGAGAGAAGAAAAGTCTGGAAAACAGGCGGGGGGGATGAGTCATATTTGGAGAGCTTTGAACGCCTCTTTGTTCCGTCTTTCCCATGGTCAGGTAGCTATGGGTCACTGATTGGATTTCCCATGTTTCTGTCTAGAGTTTCCCTATCCACAGAAAGTGCATCCCTCCTCTCAGGGTTGGGCAAAAATCAGATGCAGACTCCCTGTGCTCGTAGTAACATCACAATTTACTGAGGAATGTTGCAGTATCACTTACAGCCCTATTTTACTTCAAGGTTTCAGCAGGCCAAGGATGTTGCATTTGGAAAGTTTTGCAGTGCTGTTGCAAAAAAAAAAAAAGACTCCTGTTCCGTTTGATTAAACGTTTAGCATAGATGTTGGGGAGACGGCTCTGTAATCTCATTGGGCCTGAAAGTGTGTCTGTTTCTTATTTTAATCTGACTGCTTCAAGGTCTTTTGTCCCATCTCTTTCTCTGTTGAACATTTGGCTGGACTAGTGCAGTGTTGTTCTTCTTCTTTTTATAAAAGCCAGACTGCCTCCAAGATTTTATTTTGGAAGACTTGAACAAGTAGCACAACACATACTTGCTTGTACACCTTAGTATCATGTTTTTTTAAAAGCTGTCAGTATGCTTAAACATACTGCAAGGCTCAAATTCACGAAGGTTATTATTATTCTAAAAGCCTGGTGTAAGCGTGTCATGAATGGCACCATGTTGGTCATTTAAAAACTAACTGCTTTCAAGTTAAAGCAGGACTTTTGGATATGAAAACAGACTTGAATGTACCAAATGTTAATTGAATAATAAAAAACACAAGTGACAACATAAAAAGCTGCAACAACAAAAAAGACTTGAACCCAAAAAAAAAAAAAACCTAGTGGGAAAAAAACAAGACATAAAATGTGTTTTTTGACCTTGAGGAGCTATTTTTGTAGCGGCTGAAAAACATTTTTTATTCCGTTCATAGGAGCTCTTCTAAGAAAATGAGCACTTACATGTTGCTTATCTTGTAGCTGACAGGTCAAATACAAGTCAAATTAACTTAATAGCATACGCATGTGTCTGTATGTGCCATGGTTGGTAAGATGTTGACAAGATGTCAAGATTTACTGCGGTGTTTGTTGTCTAAATTTGCATCAACATGCCTGGGGTGCAGCAACAGATGGTGGAGGGAGAGTTCACCCTGGAGCTCTGAGCACTGCACATCTTTTCATGGGAGGTCTTTGGACATTTGAACCTCAACTTTAAAACACTTGCTGCAGTGCTGGTAAACAATCTAGAGCCGCCCCCCCCCCCGAACGAACTGATCCGCGTGCCTCTACCCATAAGGAGAGAGGCTGGCACTGAGCTGCAGAGGACTGCAGAGACGACTGGGAGGGTAGGAGAGACAGAAAACAAGAGCCAGGGAGCAGCGAGAGTGAAGGAGAGATGACTGAGGTGTTAATGTCAGGAGGCCTTGCAGAGAATTCTGAGCTTGTTTTTTGTATAATTGAAGTTGTGGTTTGTGGTGTTTCACCACACAACACTGTAAATTTTTTTTCCTTTTATGATGTTGTTTTGACATTTCCAAAGCTCGGCTGCTGGCCTGGCACAGTAACCTGAGGAATGATTTACTGTGCTGCAAAGTTTATGTAGCATTACTGATCTAAGTGACAAATTTGTAATGTAGCAATGAATCACATGTATGCAAATTCTAAAGGTCCTATTGAACAAACAAATAAATAAACTTAATGCATGTAATTAAGTTTAAGTAAATAGTTGCTTAGTAAGCGTTGCACTGGACATTTTTAACAGCACACCTCTATGAAATGAATCTTCTACATCCAGGAGGTGAACATATGGCACATACATCATCAGACATACAAACACAGCAGAATGAAAACAAAGTGAAAGCAAAACAAAAACAAGTTCAGCTTGTTTATGTTGAAGTTATGTTACTGAGATTAAGTGCTGGAGCATTAAAACATTGGTAAATGTAGGTTTCTACTGCCACCTGCTGGAGATAAATGTTAAAGTATTACTGCTCCTTGGACGGATGGATTCACATTTGTTCAAGTCTTTCTTTAAACAATACTCTCCATCCTCATGTCCACTAGCTGTCAAGTATCCCTTTAAGCACAGTAACACCACTTCTTGACCTTTTTTCCCCAGATAAAGCTCATATGAGGCTTTAATGAGGCATCAGTATCATATAATCAGTTAAGATAATCCTTTATTTATCCCACAATGGGAAAATGTACAGTGTTACAGCAGCAAAGAGTGCAGACAAAAAGTGAACACAGTACAATTTAAATTAAAAAAGAAAAATTAAGAATGTACAAAAAAAATAGATACTAAAAAATAGATTTAAAAAAATAAAAAATAGATCAGCTATTGACAAAAGTGTAGTCCGTTGATATCTTTCATAACTATGGTCTTTTTGCACAGGTTTTCAGTTCAATATGTCTGTGAGTGTTTTAAACTTCTAAACCAATGCGGAAGAGAATGAAAGACTCCCTTACTGACCTTCACCTTTTTTTGTCTTTTGAACATCATTTGCAGTTTCGAGCTGATGAGGATGTGCTGGCAGTATAACCCAAAGATGCGTCCGTCCTTCCTCGAGATCATCAGCAGCATCAAAGATGACCTGGATCCTCCCTTCAGGGAAATGAGCTTCTTCTACAGCGAGGAGAACAAGCCGCCGGACACAGAGGAGCTCGACATGGAGGTAGAGAATATGGAGAACATTCCACTGGACCCTGCATCCACCAGGCAGCCCTCGTCAGCTGCTCCATTATCAGGCTGTATGGGAAGCACACCCCCTCCATCGACACAGCAGCAGCAGCAGCAGTTATCCCCTGTGCAAGGCCCGAGTACTCCTTTACTGGGACCTGTATCTCCCTCGTCCCCGGGCCCCGTCGCCTCAGGTTTGGCGTCTCCAGGCCAAGCGTTGGACAAGCACTCAGGACATGTGACGGCCAACGGGCCCGTGGTGGTGCTGCGGCCTAACTTTGACGAGATACAACCCTATGCACACATGAACGGAGGCAGAAAAAACGAACGTGCATTACCGCTGCCCCAGTCGTCGGCCTGCTGATATCAGACCACCCCCCACCCCTCCCCTCCCCCTCCTCCTTCTCTTACACAGGGTAACACAAACTCTCCTCCATCTCATTATGAGAGATGGATGACTTTCTTTCTACTGTGTGCCAGTAGATTGTCTCTCCACTCTTTTTAAGGTCAAACATAAACTCTAAAAAAACTGCAAAAGAGCACAGAAACCTGTTGAAAGCATTTGGAGTTTGGTGGCTCAGACTCAACACTGGGAATTTCCTTCCTGTGCAGCCTGTACTCCAGTCTTTGTTACATGAATCCTTCAAGGAGGAAACTTACACAGGCATATGTATCCTGACTTACAGATTCCGACATTGGACTTAAAGAATAATCATTTCTAAGCATATCCGCCAGCAAATCCAACAGAAGAGCACTTTTTTTCCTCATGATTTCAGAGAGGATGTTGTGGATATCTGAGTGTGTATTTATACAAACGTGATTCTCTCTCTATGATACGGTATAGTTTCATTTCTAAATGACTTTCCATCAAAAAAAAAAAAAAAAAGACTTTGTTTACGTGAGCAGAGTGGCTCATGTCATGTGAGAGGACGCCTCAATTAGAACGTTTGGACCGAGAAAGTCGTTTTAATTTCCCCTGTTGATGTTTCTATGGATGTAGATCCCGACAGGAGCAGGTCAAAAATCTGAAGACGAGGGCCTGTTGTGTGTCTGCCAAAATTGCCAAATCTCGCTTTCTCTCAAATTTCAAACAGGTCAGCCTTCTTGTGAAAGGGTGTGATTCAGAGTTGAGATCCATCTGCGTGTGGAATAACAGCCAAACTGTTTGCTGATATTCAGACTTTATTGCTTATCTTCAGGCCCAGCTGCTCCTGACACAGCTGTGTGTGTGTGTGTGTGTGGTTGGTTTGTAACAGAACAAAATACAATGTTACTCTTCAGTTGGGCTGCATTGACACCTGCAGGAAAAAAGCTCTCTCAAAATGTTCAGTGTCTTAAAGGATGTAGTAAATCCTTTTGGTCCTGTGATACTTTAAATTGAATTTTGTAAGACTTAAGGCGCACTCACACTAGGCCCAGTAGTCTCGTACCATCCTGAACAAGATTGTTCCCTGCTGGTTTGCACTTGCGGTCTCAGAGTCAGCACAACATGACAAAGAACATGACCACAACTTTACTGACTTTGTGACTTCTTTTGAGTCGTTTTTGGTCAGAACTTGCCCTCTAACGCTCCTTGATTTCTGGATAATGCGAGGCGCCGATAGATTTTTCCAGCATTGCGTACCTGTGCTTGTGCTCATGCATGAGCAGCCGTTCGGTACCAAAGCACACCTCTTCCAACCGTGCCCGGAGCCAACGAGGTGCACCATGCTTGAGCACCAGTACAGATTGCTTAGTGTGAGTGTGCTGCAAGTGCCAACTCTGAATCACAGCCTTCGTCTGGGTTTGTGAAAAAAACACCATAAACTATATGAATGAAAGGTATATACCTGACTTTGATGTTTTATTTATATTCTAGTATAAACCAAATTTCAAAGTCATTGTAATCACTTATGTTCATCATCAAAAGGATACGATTCTGCCTCCACTTTTATTCATCAGATTTTTCTTTTTCTAAGTGTGCGTTTCATGCGGCAGGTTGTTAAACTGCTGTTCATATAAAATGACACCAAACACAAGAAACAAGCAGAGTCAAAAGAACTGAGACAAGAAACAAGAAGGTGTTGGATTGGATTTTTTAGCAGCCTAGAGAGGACTTTTAAAATCACAACAGGTCTCTTTTGGAATAGTGGTTAGCTAGTCTGCATTTCAAACACATATGAAGGTCTTACAGTTGTATTTTTAGACTGCAAGATCACTTTTCTACACATCATTGGTTTTGTCACTTTTTTAAAAAACCTTTTTACGGTTCAAAAATATTTGCCTCTATGTCTGTACAGAACAAAGCTGCTATTTTATTCTTTTTCTCTTTTTGGATGTTATATATAAAGAAATCCTTCAGGTTTGGTATTTTACGGTCTCCACAAATGTCAACTTCTTATATCATCAAACTCTGTTAAAAAAAAAAAAAAGATAAAACAAGGACAAAAAAACATTGATTTAGGTATAAGACATCTTTTTTTTCTGTTATCCCTAAAGGTTTTCTTCAACACTATACTTTGCTCATTGCCTTTTATTTTTATGAAATCTTTCCTCCTGTATTTGTTTTGTGGATGTCTATATTATTGTTATTATTATTATTATTGTTATTATTATTATTATTATTTGGAATGGACACCTTAGCTCGATGTGTGAGTGTGTACTTTCTGCACCCTTTTTGTACTTGTCTAGCACTGCGCCTAGCATTGCCCTCTAGGTGCGACTCAATCTCAGGTCAAAGTAAAGGCTTTGCTTTCTCCACACATTCTCATGATTGTCCTCTACTTGTCCCAGCTGCACCTCCCCCCCCCTCCTCTCCTGCCCCCATCAGTAGTGCCCTATTTTCTCCCCTCTGGTCCCTCATTGGCTCATAACAAACTGTACCTGTTTCCTCCCCTGGTGCCTCCTTTTGAAGTCAGGATTAGTCCCAGTATCTGAGATACGTACTTTGCACCAGATACTGTCTTTTAACCCATCCATTTCCTGGCTCTTCTTGACTGAACAGGGCTAATTGGGTTGTCTTATTTGCCTTAATCACGCCAACCATCTCGCAACTATTCAAAAAATTTGTCCCTCAAACATTTAAGCTTCTCGAGCGCAATCCATTGCTCCCTCTGCTGAGTTACTTCTAGACAATGAGAACAGGTCTCATTGTTTGTCTTCATAATCACTGCTTCTGAGAACCAAATAAAGGATGGGTTAAAGGCCAGGGAAGGGAACACACTTCAATGTCATGAATGGAAAAAAAAAAAAAAAAGGTCTTAAAAGCAGAGGCTGAACAGTGAAAGTGTTTTGAAGGATTTCTCCTCATCGTTTGGAAATGTTGCCTGGTGATTATTTTTTATCTCTTTATCTTTAAAAGATTTCTGTGTTATTTATTTATTTTTTTATTTTTCCTTTTGTGATATCAGTTTAAATCACTGTATAAATGCCCCATGATTCAGTATAAAGTTGGATTTTTTTTGTATGTTTTTTCCTTTGGTGTCATGACTGAGGGACTTAAAAAAAACATTTTTTTTTTTTTTCATTTAAGTATATATCTACCTCACTCTTTTTTAAAATACATGTATGCGCATTGAAAACAAATACATCTCGCTCTTTCTCGTCAGTTCTATATAGCAACCTCAACATCTGGATCAAAAACCCACAGGGAGCTAAAGAAACCTCACACAGCAGACCAGGACAGGAAATGGAATATCTGTGTGGAGGATTCAATGTTGTCATTTCGGCCCATCAAGGTTCTCGCCTAGAAAGTGTGTGCGACGCAGAACGATGAGAGTAGCCTTCATAAAGGCTGTTTAATTAGTGGTGTTGCAGGGGTGAAAGCAGGGTGCTACACAGTTATTGATCAGACAACATCCACATCAGATATCCCATCTCCACTCCACTCACTCCAAATATATAGTCACAACCTTCAAATCCTCAAAACAGAAACCAACATTTTCATCTTTAAATGCATTTATATTAAAGTCTAGACAGTTATCATGTGGAATTTTTTTATAACAAAGGGAAATCTTTTTATTTTACACCACTACTTCAGTGTATTCCAAGCATCCAGATACCATTAACACTCTCAAAAAAAAAACGACATATTGTTCTGTATATAGGTCAGTACTGTGAATGTAACAAGGACTTTGATGTACTTAACACACAACACATACATAGAGATAGCAGCAGCTCCAGTCCTACATTGACAACTTAAGTCCTTTGTCTAGATTTCACCACCTCTTTTAAACCTCTAGACTTTTTTTTTTGTGGCTGTGTAAATGCCCTCATTGCATTTTAGCTCTACATATGGCTCAATTCCACCGTCATCAAGGTAAATCAAGTGGCCATTATCAGTCTTTTTTTTTTCTTATTGGTCATGTGGAAGCAAACTCGTCATGCCTTTTCTGGCCTGTTTGAAACGTAAATCAGCGCTGCTTCCTCAAACAGTCACCTCAGTGGACCTTACGTCGCCATCCGAGTTAAAAATGGCGAGTGGGAAGGCGGCAACGGAGCTTTTTTTTTTACATTTTTCAAAGCGCCTCACAAAACTCTTTCCGAGTGCTGCTTCAGAGAGCGCTCTGGGGCTGGAGGCTTCAATTGAAAATGTTTGTTAAAATAAAACAAAAACAAAAAAAGCAATAAAAACATGGACGATGAACAGGCTTCACATGTGAAATTTAGGTGCTTGAATCTACAACATCTGATTAGTGCATGATTTAAGAGAATAACAATCAAAGAGTGAACTTTTCTTTTGGATGAAAAACAGTCTGATTGCTGCTAAATATCACACCGGTACACAAATCACCACTGACAAGCATCAGCTTGAGTCGTAACTGAACATATCTGTGCATTTATTGTCTTTTACCTGTTCCGTTGTATATTACGATAAAATACAGACATTAGCGATTTATTTCAGATCCTCTCAGTTCTGGCAGTAGACATGACATTGAGCTGTAGTAAGGTGAAGTACTGATTCATTACTAGTTTCTATTAGATCACACACACGTCTCATAACTGCAGCATTTAAACACACACACGGACATATAAAGGACAGGGATGTTGCGTAGATTACGGGTAGTAGAGGTTAAAAGTAAACAAACATGATTAGTAAAAAAAAAAAATGATACGCTTAAGTTTACAGCTTCACTGTAGTTGCTACGTTTCGCTTCTTGCATTACCAGATTTTTCAGCGTAAAGGTACTACAGCTACTTAATAGAAATTAAAAAAAAAAACACATTCAACTTTAATCATCTTTTATCATTTGAATTCTTCCGAATGTTCTTCATGCAGACCTCAGGTTCATGGAGTATGCTTCAGTGCATTCAAACTGCAATAATGAGTATGAGGTTTATTATTGTCATGCCTCTGTTTTTATTATTTGCATTCCCATGCCTTCTGAAGGGGCCTTGCTCTACTACTATTATTATTTTATTATAAAACTTTCACAAAAATCTGTGTGTTCTTTTCCTGAGTGGGGACAGACAAAAAAAATCCTTCACTAAAATCTGTCTTTTTTTTTTTTTTTTTTTTCCCAAGTTCTGTATCTGAGGCCTCAAAAGTTTTTTCAATCTATTAGGTGAGATGGTATCTTTTTTGACATGCCATCACTACAAATGTGTATCTGAGAATTTCTTGTATTTTCTTTTTTTTTTTTTTTTTCTGAAATTTTTGAATAAATAAATGAATGAGAACTATGACTGTGTCTGCACTTTCTCATCCACATCCTTCAGCGATATGGCTTCATGTCCGTACTGAGTTAAATTATCTTTCATCAGGAGATCTACCTCAATGGGCCTGCTGCTCGTTGTCTTCTCGCGTTGCTTCTGAAGGATCCTCCAGCTGGTCAAGCATGGTCCGGATGAGGCTCTGCAGCAAAGGTACCAATCTGTCCGCTGAGCTCTGGCTGCTAGGGGAGGGAATGTGGATGAAGGCTGCCCTCCTCCGACCGTGATACAGAGAGCAGTAATATGCAAAATCACACAGGTATCTGAGAGGATCAAACAAGAAACATTATCTCACATACTCGTCGTGTGTCTGTCAACACAGCACAGAAACAAAATACCCACCTGCCGGCATCTCTTGAATAAATAACATCCATGCCTGCTTGTCAAACGCCTTGGAGACGGCTCTCATGTTAACGATGGAGTCCAGCTTCTCAGGTCCTCCCTCCACACAGCAGAGACTCTTTGGACAGAAGCCACACACGTCTTTGTCTCTGTATCCGCAGTTCTTCCCCGTTTGCTCCAGGATGATGCCACTGGAACCTCGGGCTATGCCCAGATGGACGGCAAACTGGATCAAATAAAACACAGAGGTCAAAGTGAGATGCTGACCTTCTCACACAATAATGAGACTGTATTCATTTCATTTCTACACTTTATATTAACACAAGGTCTGTAGCCACCATTGTGAATGTCAAAGTTATGTTTCTTGTGGTTTATTCTCAACAGATTAACACTCACAAGCGGTGGATATTGATGTTTTTTGGATAACTTGGACTGGTTATTTGACAAACTGATTAAGGATTCATTATTTCCCGTTAGTGTATTTGAAACTGGATAAAGGCCATGGTGTGAATAAGAACATTTTAATATAATTGAGAAAAAATAGTAAAAATAAAATGTTTTGAAGTGTCCAAAATAATAGTTTGACACTTTTTATTCTTCTAAATTGTCTTTCAATTTCCTGACTCAGAGGGACTAAGTCATTGTTTCATTATTCCTAAAAGATAAAATGTCTACGTCCCTGGTTTTGCATGTACACTTTTTTTTTTTTTGTTTTTTTTGTTTTACCTTTGGGTTCAAAGTCTTCCAAATCTCAGCAATGATTTGTTCAGTCTTAACATAACTAACTGGTAACTCCTTGATGTAAATATCCGTATTCTCTCCGAGTCCAACCAACTTCAACTCCTGAAATCATAAGATAGGAGACATGTTCACGACATTCTGCACAACAATGAGAAACAGAAGTTGGTCAAACATGAGTAGGCTTACCTGTGCTGCCTTCCAACTGGGGTTCACTAAAAACTGCCTGAAAGGTCCAAAGCCTGAATAACAGATTTACAAAGAGCACGAAATGTAACGTCTTCATGACAAGTTTGTGTGTCCTGTTCATAAACATCCACGTTTTACTTCACCTGTGACCACGACTGAGTCTCCGTTACTCATGACGCAGCAAACTTTACAAAGTTAGTTTATGTCGAGTTATCTGGAACGAGAAAAACAAAACGACCCAGTCATGCAGCTCACATATTGTCCACATGGGGGAGCTACTCTCCGGTAAATAAATGCTGAAGAGTCAGTCTGGACCATAGACTGTAAGCTCTGGACGTGGTGCGTTCAGGTACCTCCGGTGAGTTCTGAGATCTAAAAAATAAACTCTTATATTATATATATAATATATATTATATTTGCGTTTTGTTTTTCACTCAATTTATTTAATTTTTTACCCTTTTTAAAAATCAATATCTCATATTTTGCACTATTCTTAAAAAAAACTGAAACTAGTCTACATTCACTTTTGTTTTAAAGAAGAAATGACAATGTAACAAGAGTTTTCTCAATACGTTTTTGTTTGTTCTTTGACTATTGTTATAAATAATGACTAAATAATATCTGAATATTAACTGCTGGATTGATAAAGAATTTTAGACGAAATGAGGAAAGTCTGTCATAGCCTACATATTATATCTTAATCCTAAACTATATAGTTTTAAACAACCGATTGATTTTTTTCCTAAATGTTTTAAGTCCTCAATTCTATTTGAGTGTATAAAAAAAGTCTTCTATTAGGCTACTGTGTAATCAGAGATTACATTTCAGACAATCCATAAATGCAACATTACATCTAGCAGGGCGGTGTATGGGATGATCCTGTGAGGCAGCAGGACACGCCCTCCTCCTCCTCCTCCTCCTCCTCCTCCTCCTCCTGCACTTGTCAAAGGGCACTGATCGCAAAGTACATCACAGTCGAACCCATTAGACGCAAATAACATCGGGACAAACTATCTCCTGAATAAATATAGGATCTTTTTTTGAAAACGTACTTTTTTATTATTAGATGCCACTATGTTGCCTTTCAAGAGAACTTTTGACAGCGACAAGCAGCAGCTGCAGCAGCTCAACGGCAGACTTGCTCAGTATCTCTCCAGGACGAAGCAGCTGGAGCAGGAAAATGCACTTCTTATTGCTGAGATAAATAAACTGAGACAGGTGAGGACGGCGGAGCGGCAGCCGAAGTACAAGGAGGAGATGCGGGAGCTGAGGAGGATGCTGGGACAGCTGTCGTTTGAGAAGTCCCAGGCCGAGATGGAGAAGGAGAAGCTGTGGCGGGAGTTGCAGATGGTCCAGTCTCTGTGCAGCGAGCAGACGGAGGTGTGCAGGGACATCAGTGGTGAGCTGAAAGGCCGCGGAGTGGAGCTGCACCAGGCGCACAAAACCAACAGTGATCTCCAGCAGCGATTAGTCCAACTGGAGATCGAGTACAAACGCTTAGAGGACGCGCACAGGCAACAAATGGTCCGTCTGCAGCGTCAGGTGGATTCCCGGGTGGTGCCCATCCTCACGGAGACTTACCGCGGTCCTCCTGCGGCCTCCATGGAAGAGGTGCAAGAGTGCGCCCGGGGTCTGTCCGACGGATGGATGGAGACTTTTGAGATGTACCAGCACAAAGTGGATGAGATGGAGCAGTCGATCAGAGCAGACCAGGCGAAGCTGACCGACATGCAGAGGGAGAAGATGCTTATGTGTCAGAGTTGGACAAATTGCACAGAGAGGCGGAAAAACAGGGTCAGGTTCAGCTGCGGCTTGAGGAACAACTGATGAACATGCAGGAGAAATTCAGAGTGGACTTCAGTGAATACCAGGTAATTAAAAAAAAAAAACACTGAACATGTCATGGTTTGTATTTCCAATGGACGACTCTAGAGGCTTTATTTAGTATATTTTATGAACTCCCAAAATACATCATTCAAGATATGAGAGCAGCTTTACTACATGCACACAGAATAATGTGCTGCACTGGGCCAGCATGAGAAAGAGAGAGGGGGGAGAGGCTCCTGACTCTTCAACCTGCCACACCCACTGTGCTTAAAGGGGCTGCAGCAGCTGAAGCTTCCTGTGTCTGCTCTGTGATCAAACTGACCCTGGTGCCTATACAAGATATCTATTTACTTGTTAAATATAGGTTGAAAAGAAAGAATGGTGACATACTATACCTACTCCCTTTAGTCAAAAAAGGACAAACATCTTTATTGTATAATATGATACATAATGACATTTCTAAAATGAAGTAATGTCTGACACTATCTTTGCGTGCAACATTGACCCAAGTATAAATGGATCGATCAGCATGAAGTCTAAATGACATTCGACCTCCCTGTGGGACTTTATAGCTGCTAGATTACACCAGCCACTTAAACCAATTAGCTGTCAGACTAACAAATCCCTATTAGCCGCCCAAAGACGGAGCCCTAAGCAGGTCAGTCAATAACAGATGTCTACACTAGTCATAGGCTGCAGGGATGCCTTCAAAAATAGTAACACACGTTTTCTACAATTCTACAATTCTACTATTCTACAATTCACTTAGCAGACACTTTTATCCAAAGCGACGTACATCAGAGAGTAAGTACAACACAAGCAAGGATCTAGAAAAAAGGGAACAATGTCAGTAAGAGCAAACGATCAGCTTTGAGTCTGATTGGACACACAGGTGCTGACAGGAAGTGACCAGAGGCAAAGCACAACATTGAGGGCAGTTCTTGAGAGCTCTAATCAGTATAGAAACCATCTTATAAGTCATCGTTATCAAACAAAAACCATCGTCATTACCATCATCATCATCAATAATATGGAGACCATCATCATTACATTTTCCCTGAATAACTCTACAGTTTTATATCTATGACATCTGTTGTTGATGTTGGACAAATGGCGTTCTAAAGAGGCAGACATCGGATTAAGTAGTGAAATGATCAATGCAGTCTGTTGGTGGGATCAGACATTACAGGTCCCACTGTCTTTGATTAAAATGCAATTCACAACACAATGAAAATTTTCAAGTTATTACATGATGAATGATCACAGTATTTTTAATTAAAATTGCAGGGATTGACGAGAGCTAAAATCTATTTGATATGGCTCTGGGCTTGACTAAACAATTATTGTATCAAATTGAAATATGACAGACGTTAAAATGTAACTATTTGCTAAGCAAAAAACTGAATGTTTTGTACTTCATTTCCCCCTCCAGATGATAATTGAGCAGCTGGAGCATGAGAGGAACATGATGGCAAACACTATGGAAGAAAAGATGAAAGAGCATCAGCACCTTCTGCAGGTGAAGATGGATCTCGGCATGGAGGTGGCTTCCTACAGGTGATGAGCTTTTTTATTTTTCAGCTGACAATGGAAAACAGATTTTTACTTAATCACTTTAAATATTACAGACAATTTATTTTTTCTATTCTTTTTTCTATTTTTTTTCTATAATTTTCTATTCAAATGTTCCTGTAAGTCAAAACAGTGTGATGGAGAGGCAGCATGCACAACACCAGTACTCCAAAACCCGGAGCTGCTAAATATAAATCAGCTAGCGTATATTTTATTCATTACTCCTTTGCTTTTTCCTGCTCTGACATGTTCAAACAGTATAGTGTGCATGGAAGTATTCTGCTATTATTGTAAGCGTAATAGTTATATGGGTTTCTCAAAGTGTCTTCATTGGCCAAACCACAAAGTGACAAACACTGGGACAAGGATTTCTTCTTTTCTTTTTCTCATTTTGGTGATCTAATAAATAGTCTGTGAAAATAGAGCTGACCAGATTACTAGTTAAACCATCCCCCCACTGAGCGAATTCCTCTAAGCTTAATAGGTCTTAATAAGTGATTTCCTCAAACACATTAGAAGAAATGATCTGCTTACTTTGTGCTGTCAAGACAATAAGTGCTCTCTGTCACTCATAAATAAACCGAAAACTAGCAGCTCACATTCACCATTTCATAAACACTGCACAGATTGAACATGCATTTTTAATCGAGGTTTTTAACATTTTAAGCCAGACGAATTATAGCTTGCACTTTGTGTCTTGTAAAGAATGGTATGTAAGAATGATATTCCTCCAAACATAGACAGATTTACACAAGGTCACTCACTAAGACTATTTTTACTCCAAGGAAAAGTTTTGATGAACACATTTTCCACTGTCATTTCTTTTTTTTCCACAATTTTTAGTCACTTACCTGCAATTCACAGGACATTCCTGTTGTTTAAAGTGCTGTGCAGAAGTTTTTGAGGAAGAGCAAAAGTGTATCACTTTTAAACCAATTCCCAGGAAATGCGTTTTAAGACTTCCTATTTGTGTGTTCCTATATATGGCATATAGTTGGCCAGCACATCCAGTTTGTTTTGAATTTTCAGAATAGACTGAATGTTTGCTCTGAGACGTAGCAGTGGCATGTGTTTGTATGTGTCACGAGTCAGCTTTTGCTTTAGGATCGAAAGGAAGCATGGACAGCCCCACATTGTGGCTGTTATTTTTAGGTCAGTCTTTGGGAAGCCACTCTCTGGAGAGGTTGAGTCCTTTGAGACACTTTGCTTTTTCTGTTGTTTGCTTGTTGTAAGTATGAACAAGGAGAAGCGAGGCAGCTAAGCTCATTTTTAAGATCTCTTTATCACATGCCACTGGCTTGTTGTGTTTTTGATCATTACCACCTTATATGGCCGTCTCCGGCGCTCATAGTTTCTTGTAAGCCTGTTGCATTTAGTTATAGAGCGTTGTCATGGCTGAGCTGGATGAAGTAAACCGTCTTGTGAGGTATGTCTTCCTCTGAACTCTTTATTTTAAAGGGAAAAATTATCATTACTAATTAGCTCATGCGTTCATCTGTATTTTGTCTTCTCTCTTGTTCGTTCAGGGCTCTCCTGGAAGGTGAGAGACTGAGTCCTCACAGTAGAGTGAATCAACACCAAAGAGAAAGAGTAATAGGTAGGTTACTTACTTCATTTTGATTTTTTGTTACAATTTTGTAGCAAGTTCATTTTAAAACATTTTTTTTTTCAGGAATAGTTAAATATAATAAATGTCCTTCAGGTCAAGACCAAGGAGAGAAGATTAATAACATTGTCAGTACTCTGTGTAAGAATTTAAACTTGAGGTTTAACTGGGGTTGTGTGTGTGTGATATTTATTTTCACTGTAGCAGTGGGGTCTTTGCTGGTGACTTTCTGGCACTGCTCCCTGCCAAGAAATTATTCTGCACATAATGTTCTCTAAAGTTACATTTTCAATTTCTAAATTATGTTTTGGTCCAAATTCAAGAACAAGATGAACTTTAATTAGTGAGATTTAGAGGAGCTTGTTGGCAGCTTACGATCTGCTTGTGTTTGCAGTATTCTTGTGAAGCTAAGCTTCAACCTTTTTATCCTCATCCTGCCAAGAAAGTATCTGTCTAATTATCCAATCTAATTAATTCTCTGCCTTAGATATCAAGGTGCCTGCCCAAGCCTACTCTCAAAGAGCTTCCACTTTAACCACCAGACAACAAACCAGGTACACACCGCCAACGTCCAACCTGAGAAGGTCCCCTATGCATCCCTCTGGATCCATAAGTCCCTCGAGGGTCATTCCTATTTCAGTTTTGGGCCGAGAAAGGCATCAGAGTCCTGCATCAAGAAGGGACATGATCTCATTCAACAAAGCTCGGGCTTCTGCTTCCGCCCCCATGTCCACCACTGTCAGTGTATCCAAAGATAAACAATCAGGCACGAGTGAAAGCCTACTTAACCAAAATGTACAGAAAGCAAGAGCTGATGAGAGAACTGTGACGATCAAACAGGTCTCTCAGCTGGAGAACGAAGGCAGTCCAACCAAATCCTCCACTACTGTCACCAAATCAAAGAGAGTGGTCTCGCCTCCGATGATGAGCATCAGCAGGAAGACAGAAGCAGAAAGCAAGAAGCAAGTGTCTGATGAAAAAGAGAGAGATATTGTTGATGGAGATGAGTTCAAAAATAAGGGGTATGTGATAGGCCCGAGTGAGAAAAAGATGTTAGACTCTGTGACTGTAGAAGAGATTATAGAAAAAGTGATGAAACCTGCTGGTTTGGAGGCCAGTGTTTGCTCATCGGGGGATTCTAAGGTGAAGTATCATGTGGAGAAAACTGAGCAAGAGGATGGCACTACAAAGACGCAGATTGTCCTGGAGTCGAAAGTGGAAGAGGAGCTTGACTTTTCAGAGGACTCAACCCTGGAGGAACTACTGAGCCAAGGGGTTAAGAAGGTGTCACTGAAGGACATCGAAGACACCACCACAGGAAGTATGATCAAGAACCTGCTGAGTGGCCTGCAGGGAAGCGGGGACCTGCAAAATAAGTCGGTCAATGTAGAAATCATTGAGGAGCCGGTGGAGAGTTACAGTGATGAGGAGCTTGAGGCCGAACTGAAGTCAAGATCTACTTTTTATGAGCCGACCTCAACGTATTTTCAAATTGAGGAGCTGGAAAATGTCCCTCAGAGTGTTCAGTTTCAGAGAAATGAAGGGGATACCATGAAAACCTCCAAGACAGATACCGATCATTGGAAGGGTGGATCTGTACAAGTTCAAGAAGTTTCCAAAGAGAGTGAATATTTCTCCCACGGCAGAGAGCCTGACGAGTACTTTGTCTCCACACCAGATGAAAATCTCTCTGAATCCGAGGAGGGTGTTGGCATCACCTCATACGGCCATTACGGTATTGTAGATGACCTGTCAGACGAGAGGTATTATCAAGACGAAGATGTTCCGCCAAAAAGAGTGACCGTAGAGCAGAGTGACAAACACAAGTTAAAGTCAGGGGAGGACTCGTTTATCAAGGAGAGTTTCCCAGAGTGCATCATCGAAGAAGAGGTTCGCGTCTCTCCGATAGTCCAGGAGTCGATGCTGGAGTTCCTGCGGGAAGAGTCTTTGGAGCCCAAAGAGCAGCTGAAGGGAGCGCTGGAGAAACTGCAAAGCTCAGTGTCAGGTCCACTGAGGGAAGAGTTGGCCTTGCTCACAAAATACAGCAGTGAGAGTCCACAGAACGTGGCGATCAAAAAAGTGCAACAGTCAACTGACAATGGCACCATGACTATCGTGGCAGAGCTGAACGTCTCTCAAACCCTGGAGGACTCCGGGCTGCTGGACGAAGGAGACGACCTCTCTGATGAGCAGATCATGGCCACTCTCAGATCTTCTAACCTGGGGCTTGAGAAAGTCTTACAAGGTGGGGCAGTAGCAGGATACAGTTTCAGAGTGTCCAAAGAAGAGGATGTAAAGTATGAGGATGACTTTGAGTTTGAAGGAGAGTCTGCTTCTCAAAGCACTGAGGAACAGTTTGAGCTGGGGCCATCAGAAAAGTCCTTCCCCTTCCAGATGGACGTTCAAGGCAGCCATGCTGAGACAACCTCAAAGCAAGGGCTGCAATCTGACATCATCGAGACCCCAGTGAAGGTTTCTCAAGAGAAAAGAGTTGCAACACTTTACCTTGAAAGTCCAACAGATGATTAAGAAAGAAGTCAGTTATAACTTGCCAATGTCACTTTTTGACAGGCATATACAGTTGAGATATATTTGGTTGAAACAAAGCAGTCCACACATGGCTTCAATGCTGTTTGCAGACATCAACATCACGCTTAAGCTTTTGCAGTAAAACATTAAATATCTTTGACCATACCCACTATGAGTGTGAGACTGTGATAATTCTGTACCTAACTGCAGGTGAAGAAGCATTTAACAATTATTTTATAAAATAATAAGACTTGTTAAATCATGGCAGCACTACTGTTAAGAATACTGATTTCTAACTAACAGCTTCTAGTTAAACTAAAGACTGTAACATCTAACCTTTGTAGAAACGTGTATGTTGGTGTTGCTCAGTGAGCTCAGGTATGTGCTCACCCATATCGCTTGCAGTTTCTCTCCAAAGAGGTTATTTACCTTCCAGATTTCTCTATTTTTATACTAACCTTTTTCTGTACAGCTTACACACTCTGCATTTTACAGCTGCACAAGACAGTTTAGAGTGCCGAGGTGCTTCACTGCTGTTTTCAGATTTAAAATTGATTCTTTATTTTAACTTGGGCAGTGCTGCCAAATGGAAAACTTATAGTATAAATTGCATCCTGGAACAGTTTTTTTGAGGCGCTAGTAAGTGATGTGTAGAGAGTAAAGTCAAAGCTTGTAGTTGAGGACATTATAGTGGGGTAGGAGAAAGAGAGGGTTATTTGTCGTGAGGAACTTTGCAAGTTTAGAATGATAGAATTAATGTGTAATGCACGTTTTTAAGGCGCTTGTTACAAGTTATGTATTTCAAGATCTTTCTACTTTACACGCAACCAATTGATATTACACATTTAATTTAAAAAATGATTGCTTAAATATAAAAAAGGAAGGAAACATGGTCACTGCGAACATTGGAAAGAATGTCTGGCAATTGTGTCTTAAATGTTTGTTTCAATTCCATAAATATCTGAATTTTAAACAGTGAACAATCTGATCTGAACAAAAGTTTCGGGGTCTGGGAAATAAAAAGCGAAATCATTAAAACATGACTATAAATGTGTAAAGTATATAGTAACATTAAAGAATGTAAATAAGGAGGAGAACCACATGCATTGAAACAAGTCACTGATAGTTTAGTAAGGAACTTTAGAAAAGATATTCCATCTGTTTGATGTACAGTGTGTGTTGTCTGGACAGTTTTTGCTTGTAGAGATGTGTTCTTCACCTCGGCTTGAAGCATTCACCATTACTCAAATAAGTGTTTGTTCATCATGGTCATCAGCTTAGTGGCATTGACTGTTCACTGTAGATTGTTGTGTTATGTTGTGTACTAGTTTCAGAAGATGTAATAGTCCACTACCATTACAGCCTGGGTTCATTTATTTCACATTTGATGTCTTCTCTAAGTGACTTCAAAATGTACTATTTGAAACAATTGAGCAGTGTCTTTGAATAATATAAAAGCTTTTTGTATCTATTCTTTGAAGCAGACTGTGCAGAACTGCAGTGCTTAGAGTGAAAGGCATGCTGTTATGAATAGGTTGATCCTAGAAATGTAGGTGCCAGGTAAAACATATTTTCATACACGATCTCCTCTGAAAGCTGCAGTACTTTAAACTAATACATGAATAAATCAGTGCACTTAAATTGTATCAAACAAAAGGAATGAACATGTCGATGTTCACTGTATTCCAGATAACGTGCCATTTCAAAGCATTAATCAATGTCATCATCAGCATACAGACAAATGATTTGTGTTTAAAGAACGTTTAATGACACAAGTGTTTGTCCTCACTGATAACCCATCATTTGTCTTGTCATCATGATTTCTGTTGACTGAACGACATGATTGATTTGATTACAAAAGTACCGGCCTATATGTGGAAACGGATTGACATACTAACACAATAAAAGATGATTGTGATTATGTTTTCTGAGTGGGAGTATTTCTTCATGTAATGCCAGCAGAAATGATTAGTGCAGAAGCTATTTGACATCAGTGGCTGCTGCTTGTGTTATCTAACAGATAAACATGTGCATTGGAAAAGGAGTTTTGAGCTCTTGGTCCAAAACTAAAAGATTATTGTGGAGACATTAAAAAAGATTTTAAGAATCTGACATCGAGTTTCCATCATCCCCACTGGATGGTACAACTGATGATGTTTGAGGTTTTGTTTTCCTTCTACCTTTCCGTTGATGTCTCTCAGCTACCACCTCTGGTGCCCTGCAAAACAGTACATGGTTGCATTACTTGAAACATGCCTAATTTCTTCAGTCCAATATTTCCTCTGAACTAAATGAGACTTCAGAAGTTTCATTTATCACACATCATTGTTTTTAAGTTGAGTTTAATAAGGGGCAAATGTAACTGAATTGTATGCAGTGATTTACCGGGCTAGCATGTCCACAGCTTTTTGAGTAGCTTTTGTCTTCTTGTGTTGATGACCATACAACAAACTCAGGATCTCCAGGCACTATAAATAAAACAAAAATAATGACAGCAGAGAGATGGGTCAAGGGAAGATGATAGGTGAAACTCATACTCAGAGATTAAATAAAAAACACTTCCAGCGACATGTGAAAGCACTAAACATCCCAAAAATAACCACTGTTGCACTCCCAAGGTTTATATATAACACCTGTGCTGACCATTCATGTTTCAGGTCAACAAGGGGGATGTGCTGGGCTTACAACAAGGTCTCCAAACCGACATTGCATGGTCTGTGGTAGTTAAGTCAACACATTTAAAAGAGAAGCCTGAGTCATTTTTCCACTCTACTTTTAGTTTAGTCCAATCAAATGAGGGGAAAGAGTAATACGTGTGTGGGTCTGTGTTGTCAGGAAAGACTGCCTTATTAAAAAAAAAAGAAACATAAAAAAGTTAAAACGTTCAGTCACAAACATAAGTTATAAAACAGACCTGATAGAAGCATGTCTGCTTTTTTGGCAAAGAACATACCAATATGTGAAAATAACTTTTTTGAAGTAGGGGAAAAAAGGGTGAATAAGTCCCCCTCCTCGTCAGGGAAAGTAAAACACTCAGTAATCTGGAGTAGATCCATGTGGCCTCTTGGATGTTTTCACTGTTGCTAAGGTTGATGTAATGGAAGGCCTTTTTCAGCAGCACTACAGAGGAACGGGGAATGTCAAGTGCAAGTCAGTGTGTGTGTACCATTGTTCTCTATGTTTTTTCAGTAGATCTTTCGTACTGTATGTTTCGTTTGGAAAAACAAAAGTTCCTCTATCAGTGTGAAGATGGTGTCATGATGACAGGGGGGGAAAAAAACAAAAAACATATGTGGATGTGTAAGTGAACTTCAGAAAGGTTACTAGTCGGACGTGGTGCTGACAGAGAGAGAGTCATGGTGTACCCTGGCAGTGTAAAAGGGGGACTTGAAACCCCCTCTGACACTTACATGCCAAAACAAACCATCATAGCAACTGGGCTCCTTTACTTACAGTCATGCCAATACTTAAATCTTAAATAAGAAAATCCCCCTTTAGTGGTGTATTTTTGTGCATTCGTCGGGCGGCAGAATTGAAGTTGTAGATAAACTTATGCCGTCATTGTGTCAGTGAAAACAAAAACACTTGTTACATAAGACAAAAGTGAAAACAGATTTAAAGGAGGAGTCTAATTAAATAACTCAAAATGCAGTTTTTGATTCAAATCATGTGTGCTGGAAAGACATGGGAAATTAAATTATGTTGCAGAGGACATAATGGCATGCCACACTAATTGGGGTCAGAGTCCCTTTGATAGACAGCAGTTAGCGAACTGCCTTCCTCTTTTCAGAGTTGTGTCATCTGTCAGGCTCCATCCAGACGGAGGAAACACAAACTTACACTGTGTGATATTTTACACCAGGGATGGCGCCTCTGCACAATGCACCCTTTCCAAGATTAGCATTCGACTTTGATAGCACCGAGCTTAGGGAGGACGGTGGAAATAGCACATCTCAAAATGACAGGGGCTCTTTGTGTGTATGTTTTGAACAGGCTCCTCACTGGTGTAGATGGACACACCCACTGCCTGCTGGCCTTTTATTAAAGCCTTTCAAATACTTTGGCAGGTTCAATGTCATGTTGGATGACATTAACTTCTACTCTGTCCAGCATTTCCAGAATTCGTTTAAAAGGTTGTCACCAAGATAAACATTAGTTGTGATGCTCATGATCTGTAACATGTGATCACCTTTGTCATGGTCCTGTGGGCCTGCTTCATCCTGCCCTCAGTCATCTCCACACTGCCAATCAGCTGAAGAGTTTCTGCTACCTCAGCACTCAGCTCACCGAATGTGGATCTCTTTGAAGGGAGAGAAGCTTTCTGTATCTCCACACATCTCTGCAATGGAACGTCGAGGAAATAAAAGGTAAAACATCTGTTTCCATGCATGGGTTTATTCCACCCCGTCTATCAGATGAAATAAATCCCCTGATGAAAAAACGGTTTCCATGGTGGTCCTCTATGAACAGCATGTGGACAATGAAATCTATTAATGGTTTCAAAGCATTGTTTATGCAGATGTGCATGTTTGTGTGTTGTGTGTGTGTGTGTGTGTGTAACCTCTTGCTGGCCACTGAAGAGGAGGAAACGACAGAAGTCATCCTGCACAGCAAGAAATGCTGGATCCTGTGGACCTACAGACTTCTTATATGCACATAGACTCTGCTCAAAGTATTGACCAGCGGAGTCTACACTAGCATGTGGAGGAACAAACAAATGTTGCAAGTCAGCTTGAATGACAGACACATATAAAATGTCACAATACCAGTGCCTAAAAAATATTTTCTAGGTGTTCTACATGAATTCTTTCTTTGTTTCCAGAGGTTTTGTTTACACACTCAGTTACAGTAATATGGGGAACATATATAGGAACATTTTAACCGACATAACTGTACTTGGATGTCTTCAATGAGGATATTAAGTGATCTTGTTTCAGTGGCACCATCTTAAAGGTTTCCACATATAGAAAGACAATAGTTCATTCAAATCGTAATTAACCCACAGTGCATGTTTTGCTCAATCCCCGCCTCTGTCTGTGAATACACTCACCATTGTGATGGGGCTCTGTAGCTGCAGAGAAGATGAGGGCCAGGCTGTGGGAGATCTGAGCCCCCTCTACCTCCTCTGGGCTGTGACTCACAGCAATGGCATGAGCCTAGCAGTAACCCCCATGTGAAATAAGACAGATCACATATCACCAAATAAGAGGCGCGGGGACATTACCAAACAACCAAGCTTGGCTCAAAAAACCCTCGTGTTTATATATATAATATATTGCATTTGATGCGTAAGGCCCCTTGCCTTGGTTAGATGCTCTATGGCCTGGTCCAGATGACCTTTGTCCTGTTCGATAGCAGCCATGTCCCTGTAGACAGAGCACATCTTCTCTGGTTTACCACAGTCCTTCAGAAAATGCAGAGACTTCTCGCACTGGTGTAGGGCCTCCTCTGGTCTGTTCTGCCTCTTATAGACCCTATAGAGAGGACACACAAAGGAAGAGACATTTAGAACCAGACAGACAGTGACCAATTCAGCCCACTATATAGGGCGGTAATGATTCAAGCGGGACCCCTTCAAGAGGTTTATTTGCATCAATCCCCCTGCTGATGGCATTATGAGGTTACAACATATACTTACATAGGGTTACATTGAGCCTGCTTTACTGGCTCACTGAAGACATTTCTTGGTCTCCGGCCAACACAGACGTAGCAGAGGTGTAAAAAGGATTTCTGGCTGGTAGCTGCAGCAGAAGCCTGGTTTTGTGTGCAGACTATAATAGGGAGAGCTTGCACATTACCCTTTTAACCATTTTTGGTTGCATTCTCTTACAATTCTCGTAACTTCCTCCTCTGAGGCTAAAAGTTATGCTGCCTCTAACCCCCCCCCCCCCCGATTCTATCTTCAGCTTTTTTTACAAATAACTCCTGCAGTGTGTCCAAACACTCAGTGTAAGGTGTCGTCCATAAGGGGGTACTCTTGCAGTCTCAGTTTAAACCACCAAATCAAGGGTTAAAAATATTTTTCATGATCCTTTGTGAGACAAAAGCTCAGAGTTCAACATCTTAAAACAATCTGTCACCCATGTGTAAATGTTCAGCTGCAAACCAAGTTCTTCATCTTCAAAATGAAAGACAGATATGTCTTGTCCTGTTGTGCTTTGAATTTGTGCAGGCTTTTACAGAGCAATGATGGGTGAGTGAAGAGAGAGAGAGAAAGTATAAGACGATTAACCCCTGCAAGGACACTCAATCCATCAGCCTACTCTGCTAGCAGCTTCCAACCGTCTAATGGACTCTAAATTTAATTTCTCTCTCCAGTCGAGAGGTTGACCTTTTCTCAAAGGACACTAAACTCGCTAATATTCTGTCTTGCAGCACTACAGGATAATTGTTTTCACAAATCAGTCTCCCCGCATCCACACTATGCAAGTCTTACTTTCGATTTAAGATTTGATTCAGCATGAGTATGTTTATATTTTCTAGAAGAGGAAGCCTGAGTGGGAAACATCCGCTTGACAGTATCATGTAATGCTCGCGTCCCTGGACCACATGAATCAGAGAATTTATGTCTCTGTGGTTAAATAACTTCCTGTACAGGTTACTATGATGGCTTGTTTCTCTAAAATTTTCCCATGATTCCAATGTTATCCTAACATGACGGATAGATGAGAACCCCACCCGTTAGTTTTCACGGGGTAGACTCTTCCAAGTCCTTTTAGGGCAACAGATTCCAGTAACGCTCGAGTCCTGCCAGCCTGCCTGCATGGACACAAACACAATACCCCTCTATCCTCTCATTCACTCCACATCCTTACGCACATCCTGCCCCCAAAAACTGTAATATGCCCCGGCCCACTGCAATCTACGAAGAGGCCAAAGAGCAGGGTATTTATGTAATTAAGGATTTGTAGATGTGTTGCCAAGCAAGCCACACAGTCCACTATTGTAAATGTTTCCAGAGCGAGGGTTGACGTAGGTTTTTCTCTGTGCTTTCACTCAGAAAATGACACAGAAAGGCAAAGTTAAAGTAGAAACAGAATGAGAATGTCCTCCAGAAACTCTGTACAGTGCTATAACCTGATGGCACGCTGACTGATGAGGCAATTTGGATAAAAGTGTATGAGGAAGAATTGAAAATCATCTCTTCATTCTGAAGATGCTGCTTGTATTTCAGCCCACTTTTCAAACGTAACAATACAGGAGTGTTATTAGAAATAAAAGCACTGGTCTTTCATGTACATTAGCTTTGTTGTGTATTGGTGCTAGGTCTGTGAATAAGGAAGGGGGACCAGGGCAACTGATTCCTGAAAAAGCACAAAGTCTTTGATGTACTTGCACAAAGTTGTGAGCAGAGAGGAAATTTAAATTAATATGATGCATGAACATGATCATTAAGTTAAGGGTGGGGGAAATATGATGTAATGTTAGGTAATTTATGATTACAAGGGAGAACTGATGATAAAATTAAATGAATCTATTGACCAAAATTCAGATTTAGGCCAGCAGTAATGGGGGGGGGAGGGGGTTAAATTATGAGATCACACATAAAGAAAAACATTCTCCTTGTATATGATATGCCAGCTTGCTAAAATAAGTGCACACCTTGAATGTGGATCTAAAAGCCAGTAGAATATTTGGACCAGGTTCTACAGGAGAGCTGAGCTTTCTTTACTTTTTTTTTTTTTCCAGGCTTTGGTGGGAACATTCCCCCTCATCACAACAGTGTTGACTGACAGGGCTTTAGGAGCATGCCAAATTCTTAGTCACCACCTAACAAAAGAGATTTAGCGAGCTTACACACCAGCCAGAGTCTGCACATTTTTTCAATTACACACCATCATGTCAACAAACTCTGACTCTCTTTGAAACAGACCAAGATGGCATCATTTTCAAATTCCTCTGAGTGTAGCTCACCTCTGCAGCTGATATGGTTTGTTTACAGTCAATCCTGCTGAAGAATTAGTCCTCTACCTAGCAACAGAATCCTAGAAACAGGGTTCACCATACAAAGCGTAAGAGTTAAGGTGTAAAGCTTGCTATTATAGGAAGGGGGAAGCCTTTTGAAACACTCTCGATCTTTGACAGTGTTGTCTTAGCAATACAATGTGTAAGCCTAGACCTGTTCTCTTTATTTAAACCAATAAGAGACTGTTTTAAAGACCCACACTGGGTTGGTTTGGCTGTGTTTTAAGGTTAGCAAGTAAAGTGGAAACTAAAGTAACTTGTAAGTAAATCAGCTACTAAAATGAGTTGCACACTCATTATTACTGGTTTGGAAGTAAAGTCATGATCAAGCCAAAAGGTAAATCAATGATTAAAGATATTGTTCCACCATCATGATTCCTGGGCGCATTAGATGTCCAGTCACTTGATATTGTATCACAAAGTAGTTAGTAAGATCTGAATTGAAATATCACATTAATAAAATAGGTTTCAATTGTTTGAAAATGGCAGACAGTTGATAATAATGAAAAAATAAAAAAGGTTGCTTTGTGGCAGGAACATCTGTTGTTTTACCATGAATGATAATCACTCTGGGTCATTTTATGAATTAGATCCACTCTAAACACGTGTGTAACTTTTTGAGAAATATAAACAGTTATGGTGTAACTTATTTCTATGGTGCAGCCCCTCAATTAACACAAGCGTCCAAAATTTCTTACGTAATACCAAGACCAGCTTTGACTACACGTACAGTTTGTATAAGAGGCTGCATATCCTTAGAGACAGGGTGCCTACATGACTTCAGACACATTGTGCAGCTGTCTGAAGTTGTGATTGAGACAGATTTGTATTGAGTTGTAATGATTTTTGAAAGACCACAACTCCTATTACAGGAATAATGTCGATACTGATGTGGAAATTATACCTGAAATGTATAAAATATTAACATTTAATGAGAGCAGAAGCTATTAACTGGGTCAAAATACATACAGCCAAAACCAGCCTTCACTTTTATAAAAATATTAACATCAACATTCAGGCATTGGTGGTAATCCAGGATAAGCAATACTTTAAATTCATTGTTATGCTTACAGTGTCAAACCACACTAATTAAACTGAGGCTGCAATGTTTTATGCTGCCACGCCCCACAGTTCCGTCAACAGGCTCAATGATATCAATCTCTCCTACACTTGATGTCTGAGCTCTCTGTTTCCTCTATGATTCACTATGCCTCTAACTGTTTCCTTAGCATGTGGAACCTCTGCTGTCAACAACACTATCAAGTAACAAATGCACATTGTAGAATGTTTGATCCAAATCAATAACATGGTAATACTACTGAGTGAGAGGTGAACAGCTGATAGAGAAATACATGACTTTACTCAAACAGACATTGAAGGACATATTTAAGGTTGGTATGAAGCTTGAAAAAGAAGAAATGCTTTCTCCCCACTCTGTGCCTTTGGTTGATCAGTGACTGGCTCAGTGGAGATGCAGAGACCCCACCCTGCTGCACTGCAAGCATCGATGAAAAACACCCACACTGACTGCTGAGTGGACTAGACAGCAAATGGGGAAAACCCTGATTTGTTAAGCTGTTGTTTGTAAGAGCACATCAAATAATGTTACTAATGTTGTAATGTTGTTACTGAGCCAGGAAACCACTTTCACAACAAAGCTATGTAAAGGACTCATATTGGACAAATTTGCAGCAATCTATTGCCATCTTGTGGCCAAAGAAAAGAACTGTGGAGTTTTATGGAGAAAAATAAACAATGATGTACTTTTAACAACAACTTGTGTAAATATTAAATAACCCATGCTATACTCTGAATACCCTGGAAAGGCACCCTGAGAAGCACCAAGTTATTTGGCCCAGGTTAAACATGATACCACATGTGTCACAGGAAATAAATAGAACAAATCATCTGAATACCAGACAGCTTCCAAAACATGTAGACGCTGCTTTTTTCTCTCTGTAAAAAGCCATAGATACAGACTCTTTTGTCCCCAGTGCCATTTCTCTCCTTAATTGAAGTCAGGAGGGAGATAGTTGTGTTGGTTATGCTGTTGTTGCAGATGCTATTGTTGTGTTTCAGTTTGTATCTGACCTTGGCTGTGTCGCATGTTCTCTGTTGAAAACACTGTCAGCAGTTACTCACATGTGTATGTAGGCTAATGTCATTGTGGTGATGTACAGTGTGTATTTCACTGTGTTCAAAATTTGCACTTTTGACTTGTATTACTAATGATGAATATCTGTGACCTGTTAATATTTCATGTTGACTCAGCACTTTATCTGTAATGGAAGCTGCTAAGAGCATCAGTCAAGGATCACTGTTGTTTCTAGGAGGCTGCTACATTCAGTGCCTCTTACATTTTACCTCATTAGCTTTTTTAAATGTATTTTGTCTTTTTCCCTTACTGCAAAACCAATCGTCCTTTGGGGACAAATAAAGTTGAAGTTGAAGTTTACATTGTTGAGGCTTCAAAATCTGTGCTAAACCCTCTTATCTTTAATGTATTTACCAGTTCTCTAATTTGATCTCATATCTGCTGGTTAAAAAAAGAAGCTTATAGTACTACACCTGAATAGGCCATTGCAGATTTCCAGCTCAGTCTTTATCTTCTCTTCCTGGTTGATGTCCCCAAGTTGATGAAGCTCCTCAAGAACTTGTTCTGCCTCCAGAAGCTCTCTGGCCAGGGCCAGGTGCTCCTTGGCCTGCAGACCCCAGCCTGAAGGATAAAGAGCCAATTTTTGCAACTCTAAATACAATATGACCAATGTAGTAGCTTTATATATATGTATATATGTATATTAAAAAATAAATTACCTTTGAATTGGAAATAAGCTTTAGCCAGTCTGACATGGACCTGGGCTAGCTTCAGATGTCCCTCTCCATACACCAGCCTCGTAAGAGCCACACAACGCACCACGTCCTGGATGCAAGCATCAAACTGAGGAGGTACAGTAATTGACTGTTAGTATCACATTTCTTGATAGTTGATTGTAATATATCCAACTTTCCAAATGGTGCAGATCTCTATTGGGATATTATTACCCTAAACCCCTGATCCACCGTACTGTTCTGATGGACAATTAGTGGATGAGATTTTGAGGAATCAGATACCTGATTACTGTTATGATAGTTTATGAATACTACTTTTGATGTTTTTAAATAGACTCAATCAGGGTCCGAAATTAACACCCGCCAAGCACCAAATGCAGGTAGATTTTCCGCTTGGCGAGTACATTTCAAATTCACATGCCTACACTTTAAAAAATAAAATAAAGGCCAGCAAATATATTTTTTTTTACAATTTTTCAATTTCCTGATCTGATGAAATGATTGAATCTGTGACTTAAATCTGTTATTGATTAAACAGAACATAATGCCTTCTCAATTACATGTACTGTAACAGACGTGTATGGGACATAAAAACACAATTTGTTATTTTGGCCGGTAACAAAATATGTTTGGCCTGTGAATTTTTTCATCTACCTGCCACCTTGGCCAGTGAGTCAAAGAGTTCATTTCAGACCCTGGACTCAATGATAATTAAAATGTGTATACATAGCAAGGGTGTACTTGCAGCAGATTCAGAAATAGGTATCAGTCCTTTGAGCGACGGTAAAGTCTTCAGGACATGTTTTGAAATCTTATAGGCCTATTCTTAGAGTTACAAAATGACAAATGCAAACAATGGATCTGATGTGTTTTTGTCACTACCTATAGCAGGGGTGGGTAACTGGCGGCCCGGGGGCCACATGCGGCCCCCATCAACCCTCAACGTCGACCCTCAGGGCAATTTGTACATATCAATTAATTGGAAAACATGACGAAAATCTGCCATGAAATCATGAAAACCAGAAATATGTCCATAATAACATTTGATCACTGGTACATGTTGAGTTAAATTTGAGACATAATCGACTGTTATCGTTTCTGTATTCTACAATTTGGCCCCCTGGCAGTGAGAATTAAATGAATGTGGCCCTTGCTGTGACCAAAGTTGCCCATCCCTGACCTATAGTGTACACCTACCTCTTGGTTTTGTTCATGGTTCTGAGCTCGTCCCTCAAAGTGTCTGAGCTTTTCTTCAGGTGGCATCATGATAAAGTCCCTCCTGGCACATCCTGTTTGTGAGGCACAGGGAGGAGATGCATCCACGCTACTGTTGGTGCTTTCAATGCTGCCAAACAAGGTAGGTAAAAAGTCTGTTAAAAATGTACACTTTGTAAATGCAAAATGCACCAAGGACACACTCAAGGATACAGATAATGCACTGTAAAAAAAAACATGTTTTACTTCTGTTGGTTGGGTTAACAATAAAGCATTTGCGACACCAAATGTTAGTTAAAACTAAAATCACTTACTCGGGAGATTCAGAAGAAGAATAGGGATTCGGTTTGGTCACTGCTTCATCATCAGCCATAGTTTTTTTAAAGCAGTCAGTGTGACATGTATCCGTTTAGATCTGGATGCAACATGAAGCGCGTCGTCTGCAGTTTGTGTTCTTTACGGGGCCGTTTCCGTGGTTACGCAGCGCCTCGCTCTCTGTTTCTGTGTTTTATGTAGATAGTTTAAAATAGGCGGAAACAGTTCCTCGCCTTTTTTTCAGAAGGTGTTTCAACCCCTTCAAAGCTACTGGAGCTAGCTCCCCTTTTTAGACAAACTCTGTTTTCAAAACAGTGGGTTTTTTTTTTTTAGACGATGGACGGAAATCAAAACGCACGCAAGCCCAGCGTAGGAAGCGCCAGCAGGGTGCGTTCAAGAACAACATTCAATAACAGCTCGCCTAAAAAAAAAAAAAGGTAGGTGTTGAGTTTTTAACACCATTATTATTGTTACTAGATCGTTTAGTTGGATACATATGTTCATTCCCCGCATACCCACCTAAGTTCAACATCAGTTGTAACTTTAATAATAATAATAATAATAATAATAATATTTTTATTTTTATAGCAACTTTAAAAACAAATGTTTACAAAGTGCTGTGACAGATAAAGCAAATACAGCAAAACAACAACAGTACAGAGATCAACAGAGAGGGCAAAATTGTAAAAATGCAAATAACAGGAATGATGTGGAGTCAACAGGCAGGTATGGACAGTGAAGGAAGAATTAGTTTAAAATCAATCAGGAGAAAACAAAATACAAATTGAGGGAGAGTGGGACGACATCACATCACAGGCTGTAAACACAGAATGAAGATAAAAAAAAGAAGGGATAAACAGGACACTGGTTAAATGAATAAACAACAGAGAGATGAAGAGTTAAACGGTAAAAGGAGTAGGAATTTAAAAAAGACTAAGATCAGTAAAATTAATACAGGAAGGGAAACATTTAAAGGCTAAAACATTTAAAGAAGAGAAAGATTTTTAAAAAAAGGGTTAAAAGTAATAAAATGAATAAAAGGAAGGGATAGATCTTTAAAGGAGAAATCACATCAAAGCAAGTCTATAAAAGTGAGTTTTAAGAAGTGATTTAAAAGATGCCACTGACTCTGCCTTTGGGTGTAACAAAAAAAATCTTGTGTTAGAAGCAAAGACTGCTGGTTAGATGTAATCCTTTTTTAAACAGATGAGTTGTAGTATGCTAATGTCGCCACAAGATGTCGGTAATGTAACATCAGAGTAGTAGTAGTGTAGCCTATAGCCTATCCCCACATATAGTTTGCGTGTGCGTGCGTGTGTGTGCGTGTGTGAGTGTGCGTGTGTGTGTGTGCGTGTGTGTGTTACAGTTGTACTCATGGGAGTATTGTAATATTGTTGTGTTCTTTGGAGATGTCTTGGCTGGGATTTTGGCCTCACCTAAGGGCCTCCTCACTTCAGAGTGTCAAACTAGGGACATGTGATTCCTAGGGCCATCCTCCTTTTTTAAGTAGCCTAATATCTGAACCGCATCCTCAGCACATATCATACTTATAATATCATGTTTTTTCAGACTTCAAAAGATATTACTGACTTTAGTGAACCATCTTCTTGTCATCAATGCCAGCAGTCAGAAAAAAAATGGTAAATATGAAAATAACTATGCCTTTCAAGGGCTGTATAACCAAAGCCTGTAGCTCAGTAGTTTTAATGGGTAGGTGCTTGATAGACTGAAGTTGATGTAGTAAACAGGTAAGAGGTGCCACTCTATAAAATGGTGACCAATGAACCTGAAAGATTACACATTACACAACATTGTTTTCAATTTGTCACTGCCAGATTATATGTTTTGATTTTAAATCTATCTGCTCACAGGCTCTGTGAAGAGATAGGCTCTTAAAACTGATTAAATCTTCCACATAAGAACATTTACTAATTTATAGCAAGGAGTTTACTGTAGCCTATATCAGTGCTTGACAATCTCTTAGCAGTTTATTGTCAAAGACCGGGTCCTAACTGTACAAAGAGAGTGTATTTAAGGGGCATAAAACTATATTTGAATGAGGCTTTCCAGAAATAAAATAAATGGTCTTAAAATAAAGAAATGATTCTGTGTTCCACAGCATTTTGTATTTTCAGAGACATAAATGTTGTCTGTCAAAAGTGAGGAGAGGAAATGTACATTTCCCTGTGAAAATATCCCTTCTTACATCTACCCAGAATCCATGCCAAACAAACTAGTAGTAATGTCTCAGTGGCTGCTTTGAGAGATTGGTCTCCGGAGACAGCTTTCTAGGTTAATTTATTCTGTTTGGGGCTGGCGTTGTGTGTACTGTCACCACTTTTAAACCTTGGGCAGGGCACTTTTTGTGTGCAAGACTGCCTAAGATAACTTCTTATGGCTCCTTGGGATGGCTGCTGCCGGTTGATTCTGGCAGGCCATGAGACAACCCGTTTATTTGTTTGTTTGTCCCGTGAGTTTTTGGCTGGCCGTTGAGGGCTCTGTTTGGCCCCGGTCCCTGTTGGGATTCTATTTCTGAAACCCAAGTGGCTCTTAATGAAGCCCGTAGGGTTGGCATGGGCCCTCAGCAAACCCAGGCCTGATCAGACCCTTCTTCTTCTGCCTTGGCAGCCACACTCCATTTGCTCCCTCTGGCTTCCTAATTTAGTAACGGTGGGTAAAAATATGTGCTAACGAACAAGGTCTGGTATGTCAGGCTGGCGTCCAGAGAAGAGGGAGAGAGGGGGGGAGGTGGCTGAGGAGAGAGGAGAGACGAGGGAAGGGGGGGGTGGGGGGGCTGTTTTCGCAGCAGGCACTCAGTGACAGGTCTAGAGTCACTCTTACCTCTTTGACATCTGTGTCTTTTTGTGTGTATGTGTAGACATTCAAGGGAGTGTGTGGGGGTGGATGATGAGAGGTGCAGCGCGGGCACTTAAAATTTCTACCCCCTTTGCCAAAGTCCATTTAAACACTTCTAATCATTTCTCTGTTTTATTCCAACAACACTGTGAGGCTGGAGAGTAAACCTGTACTCTTTGGTGCAAATGATTGAAAGTGTTTAAAATATTAGGGGTTTTTCACACTGTCTTCAGCCAAACAGCAGAGCTTCATTTTGGGCTTCACATAAGGTAGTATTGTTTTGGTTATTTTAAGCTCAACTGTTAAATTCTCTGAATGAAACATTAAACTTAACAAGCAGCAGTGGTTGGTCACGCTAGCATTTTAAGCATGCACAGTTTCTCAATATTCACTCTGCAGACATGAAGTCACATCTGTGTCCTTTGGTAAGGGTTTAGTCATCATTTTTAAAGGCTGTTGAACTTTGGCCTGAAAGTTAATGATGTTTTTAAGCATCCATGAAGCATGTGTCCTGAAACCCTCAATATTATGTTTGAGTCATATGATGAAACAGCATTTTTTTATTTTTTTATTTGTGATTGAAATGGCAATTACAAAGCATTTGCTAAAATTCTCCAAAAAAAAAAAAAAAAAAGGTATGCATGTGATGCTATGATGGGTGTGTAGCATTATAGTGCTGTTTCTTTTAATGGTCCTTAACTCCCAGTGTGTGATAGGTGCATCGCTGCTGCGGCTTACACCTTCACCGTGTCCACACAGACAGCGGGGTCAGCTGCAGGGATCCTACGGAGCTCCTCTTTAAAGGGCTTGCCTTTGAATATGGCAATAAATAATCTAATGATGAAAAATTCTATTCATATTTAGCGTAGAAAGACATTTTTAAACAGACAGAGACAGTTTGGAGTTGGGAAAAAAAAAAATTATATATTTTTTATATGCATGTCCACGTCATTCACTGTAGACATTAAAACTGTAATAACAGTGTCAGTTCTGTTATGTTAAGGTGACTATCGAGCTCATTTAGAGATATTTTAACATTGTTGCATGCTCTTAAGTTTAGTAACACTATTCAAGCGTCGTGTTTTTAATGTATGTTTACCCTTTAAACATCAAACACATCTCTATTTTATCCGAACCCAGTCCAACAAACATTGAGGCCATTTCAGTGAAAGACACAGGAAGTGGTCACAGTAATCATTCATGTAATAGTAAAATAATGACTGTTCATATTTGATATTAAAAATAACACAAAAGAACTAGTTCACAACAAATACAATTTGATATTAATAAGAGCTGTTATGTCATTAGTTTGTACCGAGTCCCTGAGCTTGTTCCTGTACTCAGCCTGCACAATAAGAGAAAATATGCAATCTGCAAAAACATTATTCAATATCACGATAACCAGATGAGATGCAGTAAATAAACACAAATTAAAGGTTGCATATTAGCTAAAGCTCACAGTTTTTTGTATCTGTCTGCTCTTCCTCATGTTTTACCAAATACCTTTGTTTGCAACATGTTTCTCTCTAGCATTTTAACTAAAATGATGTGAAAGCAAGGTCATAATAATCAGGTCGCCATCCAACAGGTAAAATGTGCACATGCTGTGTAAGAAAGCATCGCTTGTTTACATTTATCTATTTATTATATATCTATTTATCTATCTATAGTGATGTATTTAGATCCTTGAGATTTGGTTATTGCTAATGCTCACATCGCAATGACGATGAGATTGCAATGATTTAATTTTCATCAGCAGGAGGGGGGGCAAGACAAGGATCTCAACCATAGAAATGTTCACTCAAGGACCTCAGCACTTGCCCTTCCTGTTCACAGTTCAAGAGGCTCATGGCAACCCTGTCAACTTCAGTTGTAAACCCAAAGCTTTAGATGTAAACAGAAAACAGCCCTAGAGGAGGCAGCAGCAGAAATTCTGACTTTACAGGCAGAATGAGAGCTGACTGATGTACAGATACTGTTGATACAATTAAAAAAAAGAAAACTTAACAATCTCTTTGTAACTGTTTTAGCAGTTTTATGAAGAGATCATTTGTGTTGTTTTCTTATTAGTGGGTTAAAAAGGCAATTGGTTTATATATTGATATGTCTTCATGTACAACTTTTTCCAAACGTGTTTCACCTGCAGACAAAGGTTTTGTGTCAATCAGACAGAACATTAATAACTCTGTTTGTCAATCATCCAAAACCATGAATAAATATATGCTCAAGCTTTTCAGATGTGTCAAAAACTTAACAATCTCTTTGTAACTGTTTTAGCAGTTTTATGAAGAGATCATTTGTGTTGTTTTCTTATTAGTGGGTTAAAAAGGCAATTGGTTGTAGATATTGATATGTCTTCATGTACAACTTTTTCCAAACGTGTTTCACCTGCAGACAAAGGTTTTGTGTCAATCAGACAGAACATTAATAACTCTGTTTGTCAATCATCCAAAACCATGAATAAATATATGCTCAAGCTTTTCAGATGT